TTGAAGATGTGACTGAGTCCTCAGCCAACATGTGGATTTGAAATACCATTTCCCACTTAAAGTAACCAGAGCTCCTTGGAGAAAAGGCCAGTTCCAGGTCTGGGGCAGCCTCTGTGGGAAGCTGAAAAATCACCCCCCAAAGACATCCACATCGAATCCCTGAATTTCCTTTGTTTTTTTAAAAGATTTTATTTTTTTTTCCTTTTTCTCCCCAAAGCCCCCCAGGACACAGTTGTATATTCTTAGTTGTGGGCCCCTCTAGTTGTGGCATGTGGGACGCCGCTTCAGCGTGGCTCGATGAGCGGTGCCATGTCCGTGCCCAGGATTCGAACCAACGAAACACTGGGCGGCCTGCAGCGGAGCGCACGAACTTAACTTCGGCCACGGGGCCGGCCCCTGAATCCCTGAACTTCTGAATGTGACCTTATTTGGGACAAGCATCTTGCAGATGCAACTAAGTCAAGGATCTTGAGATGAGGAGATCATCCTGGATTATCTGAGTCGGCCCTAAATGACATCACAAGTGTCTCCATAAGACAGAGGCAGAGGGAGACACTGGGAGAAGCCATGTGAAGACAGAGCACAGAGAGATGCAGCCAAAAGTGAGGAGATGCTGGCAGCACCTGAAGCTGGAAGAGGCAAGGAGGGATCCTGCTCAGAGCATCTGGAGGGAGCACGACCCTGCTGACCTTGACCTCAGACTTCTGGCTTCCAGAACTTGTAAGAATAAATTTCTGTCATTTGAAGCCACCAAGTTTGTGGTAATTTGGTATGTCAGACACAGGAAATTAACACAGTCTGGGTGTTGTCACACCAGATAGCAAGACACCCACTGGAGAGTGTAGCAGTCCAGTCATGTCAGAAGGACCCAGGAACCCACCTGGAAGCCCCACTCCAGCCCAGCTGAGGATAGGACTATCTGAGCACCAGTAAGGTTAATAGTTCAATGACCTGAAGCACAAATATGCTGAAATCTATACATTCTTAATACAAAAATAGACAAATTGATCACCTTTGAAGGACGCTAGGGAACCATCTCTTGCAAATTGGTAAATTGAGAGAAAAGACTGGAACATTTACTTGCTTTTCCTCCACACGCAGTAGCCAAATAGCACTGCAGGAAGCCTCTCTTTACTGAGCGGTCCCATCAGGGAAGGAAGCCACGGCATTGCCATTCTGCCTTCTAATGGGTTAAGAACATTCTTAGACGAACCTGAACACAGTGGCGTCCAACAGCACAAAAGGGCCTGTGCCTCCTGATAAAGAAAATGCCACCCCCTCTGAAGCACTCTTGCCCCCAGCAAGCCAAATCTGGATCTGATTACGCCTCTAAATTCACTTACCAATAGCAGGAAATATCGAGAAAAAGATTAACAGATTCCATGGGGATGCAAGCTGCAAAATCCTGATAGAAGGAAATTCCGTGAGACAAATGATTCATTTTCTTCAAAGAAATAAACTGCCAGAAGATAAGGGGAAGCCAGCGCTGAGCTGTAGCACTGAGGGACACACACTCAGGGGGATGAAACGCCACAGAAAAGGACGTGGTTGGCTGAGCCAAGATGGGCCTGCACCTTGGGCACGAGGCAGGCGCCAGGTGTCTGTTCGGGGGCCGGGTTCACAGTAATTACCCTGTGCATTTGTTTTACCACGTTGTTTTCTGTAGCGTGTGCATTCTTTTAGCTATCAGGTGCTTTGTTTTGTTTTTTAAGGAGACTGAGCCCAGAGGACTTGGTGATGGCTACGAGAATGTGGGGGTGAGTAGAAGGACCCCAGGTTCTGACGCCAGAGCTGAGAGAAAGAGCAAGATGTTTATGGTGGCAGGCACAGAGGGACACACATATCCAAGAGACCACAGACTCGCCTCCTCCCTGTCCGTGGTACCCTGCTGCCACCACGTGTCGCGCCTCAGTAAGGGTGAGACTCACAAGCTGCTTCAGGTCTTTATTGCCCCTGGACGAGGAGCGCTCACTGTAAGTGGGCGTGTGGGGTCCTCCAGGGAGGCTGGGGTGGGTTGTCACTGTGCCTGACAGTGGCTGTCACCCTGGGGCACCCGGCCAGGCCTGGGTGGGGTGGGCAGGCGGGTCACCAGCTCAGCATGCCGGGGCAGTACTTGTCGATGAGCCCCTGGTAGTAGGGCCGCAGCTTGTCCACATCCGGCAGGTCAGGGCACTTGGTGTAGAGGTCAAACTTGCTGCAGCAGGGGAGGGACAGTGACTTGTGTAGAAGCCCCGGCCTCTCCAGGCCCCCTCTGCCCCGAGCCCTTCACAAGGATGGCCATACTTGAATTCCTGCACCCAGGGCAGCATGGCCAGGTCCTGCTCGCTGCACAGCTGCTGGTAGTCGCCGCCCGTGTGCCATGGGTAGAAGGAGTGGAATCTGATCATGTAGAAGGCCTGGGGGCAGGAGGAAGCCACACCACCCAGCACACTCCAGGCTGAGCTGGGCAGGGCTGGACTGGACTGGGGTGGGCTGCGCAGGGCTGGACTGGACTGGGGTGGGCTGGGATGGGCTGGACTAAGCTGGACGGGGCTGGGCTGGGCTGAGCTGGACTGGGCTAGGCTGGGCTGCGGTGGACTGAGCTGGGTTCTTGGTTTGGTCCCTCACCCTTGCCTACCTCCAGGGGGAGGGAGAATTTGTTGAACTTCATCATCTGGTACATGTACTCTGTGGGAGAGAGGGTGTCACCACCTGGCACCCAGAGAGATCGACCCCGCCGAGGTCCCCATCATCCCCACCTCTGACTGGCCTCACCGTCATGGCCCCAGGACATGAGGACGTTCTTGAGCCCGCAGTGGGGCTGGTACATGCCAAGCTCTGTGCTGCAGGGGAAGACGGAAGGTGAGGGGCTCAGGAGCACCTGGGGAGGGGGAGGGCCAGCAGCGGGGGAGGGCACCTGTATCGAGGATCCTGGAGGTCCGGGTTGTCCTGGAAGGTGGAGTCACGGAAAACCACGGAGGCCTGAGGACGGCAGCCAACTGGGAACGTGTCTCCAACAACTGCCCACTGGGGAGGGACAGGCAGCCATGGTGGGGATGAATGGCCTACCCACCAGGTGGGTGTCTGGACCCCAGAGCTGAGGCTGCCCCTGCCCAGGCCTCCCAGCTCCCTCCACCCCTACCCTCACCTCCGGTTCCCATGCCCTCACCTGGGGCTCCCCTGCTAGAACCAGGACCTTTCCCAGGTCGTGCAGGAGCCCGACGAGGTGGAACCAGTCTGGGAGGGAGAGGACAGGGTGGGCTACAAGGGGCCCTGGGGCCGGGGCCAAGATCCCTGTCTGCCCTCCCCCTGCAGCCCTTGGAGGCAACAACTCCCCCATACACAGCTGGGGCCGGGAGAGGGGGCGCACCCTTGTCAGGGTGGGCCTTCCGGATGCCCTCGGCTGTCTGGAAGGCATGGAAGGAGTTGGGGAAGTCCACGTCTGGGTCCGACTCGTCCACCAGCCGATCCAGCATGTCCACGGCCTCCAAGACGGTCATTTTTTTGTAGGAGAAGCCCCCAAACTGGGAGTGCTGGACCAGGATGGGAGAAGTCAGCATGACTAGGAGCGGCAGCCGGACCGGGGCCCAGCCCTTCTCCATCCGCCGGGCAGTGAGGGGCAGCGGGTTGGGGGGGCAGCTCCACCCTTGAGTTATAGCAGAGGAGTTCACATGTACCTTCTTCCTGACAAAATCCACAGTTTGATGCGTGTGCATGAGCTTGTAGGTGGCGAAGACGCGGTCCAGGAGCGGGCCGGACTGCAAGCCAGAGGGTCAGCCAGGTGGCTGGCCAACCCCTGTCCTTCACACCCAGGGGGCCCAAGGCCTCCCCACTCCCAAGCCTGGCCCCAGAGGTGTGAATAGGGGGCTTCCCCAAGGGCAGCGCCTGGAGCTGTGTAAAGGGCAGGAGCTGTGTAAAAGCCTGGAGGGGGCAGCGGGTTGGGGGGAGGGCAGGCAGGGTCCTCACAGTGTAGTTCCGGAAGCTGCTCTTGTCTTTGACTGTCTCTGGATCCACATCAGGCCGGTAGACCAGGGATGGGTCTGGGCCCTGGTTGGGTGGGGGATTGAACCCATTTCACCATGATTCGAGCTCCCTGAGGGAGTGTGGACATCCTCACGGGGGCACGAGACTCTGAGACATGGGTCAGCAGCCCAGGCCGATGGAGGTCCAGGGTCAGGGTTAGGGTGAGCCCCTCCCAAGTGAGCACACCCCCATCGCTGGCCCCTGCACTGGCACAGGGGCCTGGGCAAGTCTGGGGCACTCTTGCTCCTGGCATCCTCATCTGTAAAGCAGATGTCGGCTGGATGCCTGCTTCCAGGATGATGCACGGGTGCAGGGGGAGCTATATGGAGTGCACAGCACCCCCACCCGGCATCTTCTTTTCAAGACTTGGCTCCTCAGGAAGCCCAGGAGTCTGGCCGCTGACCCTTGCCCCAGCTAGACCACAATAGGGAGGAGGAGCCCTTTGACCAGGACGAACATGCCTGCGGGAACAAGCTGGGAGGGGGCAGGGGGCTGCCGCCCCTTTCCACAAAGGACAGCTGGCCACCGGTTAAGTGGTCAGCGGGGCCACTTCTGCACCGGGTCTGGGGTACTCACCACAATCACCTTCATCCTAAGGAGCAGAGCTGGCAGATGGGCAAGTCCCACAGGCCTGTGTGCCCTATATATGCCCACAGGTTACATAAGTGCCCAGACACCACCCGGCCCCTTGGCCTTGGCCCTCGGTAATGAGTGACCATCCACCCTCCTCCTGGCCTCAGCGAGTTAATGTGTCAGCCCAGGAGCACAGGAGCAGCCTGCAGTGGCCCCAGCCCACTTCTCCCCGACCTCAGCCTCCCTGAGGAACTCACCTGCTTAGGAGCCGAGGTCACTCTGCAGCCAGGCTCCTGCTCTTGGCCTTCAGGCTTTACACCCCTCCCACAGGTGGTGCAGACCCCAGGCCCCACCCCATCACCTCAGGCACCTGGGATTCTGGGTGGGGCAGGGGCTCACTAAATAAAAAGTTCCTCTGACGCTTGTTAAAATGGGAAAACTTTATTCAAGACTATTGCAATCAGGCAGAGAGATGGGCTCCACTACGAACACAGGGAGATGGGGGGCTTGAAAACCAGTGAGCAGAGTGGGGGTCGGTGGATGGAAAATTGCCAAGAGGAGACATCAAGGGTGGGGGGATTCTTGTTAAACTTGACGAGATTGTTGCTGAAGGCAGGCCAGAATGATCAGATCTCAAGGGTGGGGGCTGAGGATTTGATTAGATCTCAAGGGTGGGGGCTGAGGATTTGATCAGATCTCAAGGGTGGGGGCTGAGGATTTGATCAGATCTCAAGGGTGGGGGCTGAGCATTGAACAGGTCTGCCAACTGGGCAAGGCCTCGTGGAGCAGAGGGCTCGGAGGAGCCTCACTCAAGTCTGCTCAAGGGGGATCTCTGTCTGGCTCTTGGGGTGAGGGCCACTTGTTACATGTGGGCTGCGTCTGGACTTAGCAGGGACCTGACACACATGCCTGCCCGGGGCCTGACCTTCTCCAAGGAGGAGGCAGACATGAAGGGAGGCAGCCATTGTCTCGTGCTGGAAGGAGGCTGGCGCTCTGGAGAGAAAGGGGCCTGCGTGTGGTCACAGTGGAGTCTGGGTGGGGAGTGGGCAGTGGGCAAAGCGCGGGGTGTCGGGACCAGGCCTCGCGGGGTGCAGGTCAGGGCACCGCGGCTTCACTGTAAGTGAAGGAGCCTATGGGGGCTGCTCTACTGTGGGCTCCTCCCACGTGCTCAGAGTATAGCCCAGGGCGGGGGCAGCGCAGGGGCCGCCATTTAAAATGGCAAGTGCGACCTGCCTTCAGGGCCCGTGACCTTGTGGCTTGCCAGCACCTCATTCTTCCACCTGCTGCGTCTTTTCTCCTACTTTTGAGGCTGTTTTCCTGTCTCCTCCCACTAGCATGTCGGGGTACGTGTTTTATTCGCTGTCTCCCCACATGCTCAGCCAGCATTTGCCAGAGGGATGGAGAGGGGCTCCAGGGAGGAGGCTGGAGCCATCACCCCAAAAGCAGGTGGTGGCTTGGCCCAGGAGAAGGGGCAAACGGCCACGGACAGGAGACGGGATGAGGGAGCCGGGATAAGGAGAGGGAGAAGAGGTTCTGACCAGGGCAGGAGCAGGGGGAAGGCTTTGGGGAGATGCGGGGTGCTAGGGCAGCCTGGGTGCTCCGGCCGGACCTCCAAGTGGGTACACATGAGGTAGGCAGCCAGGAAACAGCCTGGAGATCAGGGGCCAGGGGAACACCAGGTGCGATGCTGTCACCATGGCAGGTGGCCTCATGACACTGCACAGCAATGCCATGAGGTCAACAGTCCATCCTGCTTCATGGAAAAGCAAACTAAGGCTCGGGGAACTGAGTGCCTTAGCGAGGGTGGTGGAATCCTGGGGAGCTGGCAGCCTGTGTCACTCTGAGGAGGGGGGGGTGTCACTGCGAGGAGGAGCACTGTGGGGTGTTCCTGGCAGAGGGAGCATCCTGTACAGAGGACTCTGCCCCAGGGCGGAGCCTGGGAGGGTCTTGGCCAAGCTGAGCTCCTGACCCTCCTGGACCCCTCCCCTTCCACTGCCCAGTCCCTTTGCCCTGTCCTCACTGCCCACCCTCCCTGCCCGCCTCTGCTGACACCCTTCAGTGACCACAGGCACACAGCTCTGAGACCTGGCCCACTGGCCTCTCAGACCCCCCCTCACACATGCTGGTTCCAGCCTCTCTTAGCTGCTTTTGGGCAGCCTCCCTGGCCACACCCACACCTCCTGTGGACTGGGGCCTTGGCACTCTCAGCTCCTTCCCCAGGGACCCATGTTGTCTTCAAACCCACACCTCCTCCAGGCAGCCTGCCTTGTTCTGCTCCCCACCGTGACTCTGATCATCCTGCACTGCAATTCCTGGTCCATCTCCTTGGGCACAGAGGCCTCTAGAAGGGCAGGGACCAGCCTGAACTCTTCCCACAGGGCCTCGTGGAGGGAGGGTGCCTTGCTGGCAAGGTGACCCCTGAGCTGGAAGAGCTAGCACAGGGGTGGGTGCTTCCAGGAGCCTCCCACCCTTGGGGCCCCCGTGGTATCTAAGCGGCAGTTGTGCCTGCGACCCAATGCGTGGCTCTGCTAGTGGGCGCTGCCGTGACTGTGGCACATCCTTGACCTCTGGGCTGCAGGTTCTGCCTCTAGAGTTGACATAATGACGCACCTCCCTCCAAGGGTGGCTGAGAGGGTGATACGGGCAAACACCGAGAAATGAAGAGCTTTAACAGAAACCACCTTTCTGAACCCTGGGTCATGGCAATGTGGCATGAGGGTCAGCCCTCGGGGACTGCCGGAGGCGCCGCAGTCAGCACGTAAAGGCCCCATGGCGCACACACACCACCAACTCTACGCACGCTGGCCGCGAACCTTCTGACCATGAGGCCAGCCCCTGCTCCCCAGCTCGTGGCAAGCCTGCTCTCAGGGCAAGCCTGCTCCAGCCTCCTGCTGCCCCCATGAGTCCCCGCACTGGGCAGGGTAGGGGTCAGGGAGCCCTCACTCTTGTGTGGCCATTCCCATCTCCCTGAGTCAGAACAGGTGGTTCTGACTTAACTGACCTCTTTGGGCTGGGAGATCTTGCCCCTACCCCAGCCCGCCCTGCCCTGGGCAGGGGGGAAGAGGAGTTCTGCCCTGCCCTGCCCCCGAAGGCCCCAGCATGGCTCCTGAACCCCTACATCCCCTCCCCAGCTGCTCACAAAGATCCAGGCAGGGGTCTCCACTATGACCTTGGGGCCAGGCTCCAGGTTGGCGCTGGGGCAGTGCACTTCCCAGCACAGCCTGCCCTCCCTCACCACAGCCCGGGACCACAGTAGCCTCCTCCCCGAGGCTCTCCCAGTCCCAAGGGTACAGGGGTGGCAGAGGCTGGGGACCTGGGGCAGGCAAACTGTGCACGCCCAAAGCTGGGCTTTAATCCAATGATGTTGGGATCAGCAGGAAGGGACCACATTGGGCCAACTCGGCCCCTCTTGCTGGCCCAGAGGTGGCCCTGGGCGGTCAGAACCTGGCTTCTGCTCCACATGCCTGGACAGACCCCTCCCCTCTGAAGCCCTTTTTGGCATCTGATGCTGCCGGCCACCTCTGCTTGGCACCTGTCCCCTGAGTGTGCCCACTCCCGGGGTGTGCAGACTCCCTGGTGAATGGACTTTGCCTGTGGTCTACATGTGTGCATGGGTTTATGTATCCCAAGCCGTTCGAGTTTGGCTGCTGCAGAACGTGGTGGGTGTGGGGTGGGGTGTGGGTCTCCTCAGGGGCCTGCGCCACTGTTCCGGTCACTGCTGTCTTCAGAAGCTCCGGGGGCTGGGCCAGGGCTGGGGGCTCAGCTGCAGCTCTGGGGTTGGGGTGCAGCATCCAGGTGGGATACGGCTCCTCCTCAGCCATAGCTGTGGGGGCTGCTGGGGTCCACAGGGGCTGAGTCCCGGGGGCCGGCTGACCCGACGAGCTGCCATAAGCGGTGGCTGAGGTTCTGTACCTGGCAGGTGCCCAGTACACAGCCCACCCGCAGAAGCTGGGCTCGGGGCCTGTGGGGGCCCAAATGTCGGTGGGGGCCACCCCGGAGAGACTGACCCATAGCAGGGGCCAGGCTGTTGCTCCTCTGTGGCTGGAGGGCCTGGTGTAGCTTCCAGACCATAGGCCGGGGTGCAGGATACCGGGGCTGTGGACCACTGGAAGGGGTCCAGGCTGGGGGCTCCCTGCAGAGGGAAACAGAGGAAGTAAACCAGATGGCCCAACCTTTGGGGGAGCCCCCCAAACCCACTCACTTTCCCCTCCACACAGGCCTGGGGTCATTGCCAGGGGAAGCCCGGGCTTTCCCATCAGCCTGGAGCACTGCCAGGGGAAGCCCACAGCCCCTACACCATTACCCAGCAGACCAGGGGAAGTCCACAGCCCCCACACCATTACCCAGCAGACCAGGGGAAGCCCACAGCCCCTCTACCACTCCCCAGCCCTGTCTCCTCCCCAATCCCCAGCAGCCGGGAGCACTGCCAGGGAAGCCCACCTTCCTTTTGGGCTCAGGGCTTGGGTCCTGGCCCTCAGCCATCTCAGTAGCCCAGGTCACACCTGAGCCTCCCTGAGCAAAGACATCCCTGGCCTCTGTGGGTCACTATGATGAGGACCCGAGTGGGGCCCTCTCAGGCCTTCCCTTCGGGTGGGAGGAGGTGACCCCTGAGGCCACCCCTCCCCTAGCCGATCTCTCCTGTTGAGGGGGCTGCTCTGCCAATGGGGGAGGTGGGTGCCCTAGGAAGGGAGGCAAAGTAAAAGGGGCCTCTTGTCCTGCTCAGGGCTTGCTGAAGGCAAGGGGCTGGCCTTTGATTTAGGAGGTAAGCCCTAGCAGCAGGTAGGAGGCCTGGGGGCGGGGGGGGGGGGGGGGGGGGGGGGGGGGGGGGGGGGGGGGGGGGGGGGGGGGTCCCGGGGGCGTTGGTGAGGGGCCTGGGTAGAGGTGCGGGCGAGAGGGCCTCCCCGGGCATTCTGGTTTTCTGCCGCCGGCCTGGGCTCGGGCTGGGCTGAGCCCCACTCACCTGGGTCGGGCGGGCCGCTGGCCTCCTGCCAGGCCGCGGGACAGTGTGCCCGGGAGCTGCAGGTAGAGAAGGCTGATGCAACCGAGGGTGACGGTCAGGAGCCAGGCCATGGCACGCAGGGCTGTAGGGGCAAGAGCCGGCAGGTGTGAGGCAGCCCCCTCTCCGACCGCCCCCGGGGGAGCCCTCCGTGGCGGGCGCGGCGTGGCAGGCTGTACCTGCGTCCGTCGGGGCCGACTGGGCGGCGGTCTGCGGGCTATGGGCCGGGCGGGCTGGGCCTCCGCCGTCAGGTCTCGGTCGGGGTCCAGCTGGGGACGGAGCCTCGGCTCCTCTGAGCTAAATCTTCCTTCCCGAGGAGGCGGGGCCGGCGCGCGGCTGGGCGGGGCACTCTCCCCGGCCCCCAACCCAGCCCTCCTGCGAGTGGGCTGCAGCCCTGCAGTCTGGGCGGTGGTCTGGTGAGGGACACCGTCCTGGAGCCTGGGGGGGCCCAACTTTTCGGGATGAGGAGGTGGGTGCCGAGGGCTGCAGCAGCCGGGCGGTCCCACCCGCCATCTCTCTGACCATCCACCAAATCTCATCTCATCCACCAAATGCGTGGATGAGCGCCCCCCGAGGCCTGGCCAGCATCTCTGCTGGGGAACCGTTCCTCACGAGGAGAGACTCCTCCTCAAGATCCCTTAGCAGCTGTATTCCTAAAAATCTCTACCTTTTTTCTCCCATTACCGAAGTGTTAAATGATTTTTGTAAGAAATTTAAATAAGTAAAATGTGAGACCCCCACATTGCCTCTCCCAGGTCTGCACGGTGCCCTATTCCTGTCTCCCGTGTAGACCAGTGCTTTTTGATGAGGAGGCGTCCCATGTGTATCACATACACACATATATGGGTGTACAGGTAAGAACATATGTATTCGCGGAGTCCTCCATTCTTTCTCATGGTCGACCAATTCCAATATGTAGATGTTCTGTGACTTACTTAATTGATCCTTTATTGAGCAATTAGGTGATTTCCAGTCTTTCCAAGAGGAAGAACCCTTCTGTTGTGAGCTCACAGATGTGTCTCCATAGGATGCTTTCTCAGAAGTGGAAATTCTGGTTGAAGGTGAGCCTGTGTTTGTATCAACAGATAGTATCAAATTGTGCCCCACAAAACTTGTCCAATCCACTGTCAGTGGATAATGAACTTGGTGTTAGTGGTTCTTTGCTTCTTTGTCGATCTGACAGGGGGCAATTATCCCGTCGCCCTGCTTCGTAGACACTTCCTTGATCCTGAGCCTCCCTGTGTCTGTTTGTACTTCCTCTCTGTCTAACCCTGCCCAGGTCTTGCTCCCTCTGTCAGGTCATCATGGTGACCTGGTCACTCTCCTGCTGCACGGGCCATGGGGGGAGCTCAATCAACATTTGCTGGATGAGTAAATCAACAAGTGTTCGATGCATGCCATACTAAAGAGCTTGGTTTACATACTGAGGGAGGTGGGGAAGCATCAGCAGGTATTCCCATTTCTATTTGCTTATTTACTTTCACCAGTGGGAGGAGGAGGGAGAATGACATGATCACATTTATATCAGGAAAGTGGAGTTCAGCAGGAGGGGCTGCTGAGGGGCTGGCAGGAGGCGTGCTGTGGGGACAGAGTGGATGGGTCAGAGGGAAACTGAGTGGGGCAGAGAGGCAGAGGAGGAGGGTCAGCTCTTCTGTTTGCTGATGCAAGGAGCTGCTGGAGAGAGCAGGGAGGGGTTAGCTGCCTGGGGGACATCCTGGCAGAGCTATCTGGCCAGCCTCCAGCCTTGTGGGCCTGCAGCTGAAGAGAGGGCACACTTGGAACACAATTTTGGGAGTTTCAGAGATGGCAAGGCTCTGGGAGGCGAGAGGTGACGTGAGCATCTCCCACAGAGAGTACAGAGAGAGGACAGAAGCTGGCAGGCCAGGTCTGAAGGCACAAGTAGCGAAGAGGGTGGGCAGAGGACCCCAGAGGCAGGACTGATTCTGCAGCTGCTTCTCCTCTCACCAGCCTTCCCACCTCCCTTCAATCTGCCTTCCACATTGCTGCCAGTACCATCTTTCTAAAACACAAATGTGATCATATTACTCACCCCACTAATAAAGAAAAAATAAATCAAAATTCTCTTTTGATCTGGGACAAGTGGAGGTAAGCCTCAGTGAGGTTCGTAGGCTCGTGGTTCACTGCATTCTTTCTTTCAGAACACTTGCTGCCACCACAGGCCTGTGGTCCCATCTCCCCAAACGCCCATGGATGGGATGTCCTCTGGTCCTCAGGCCTCAGGTTGGCTGCTTATTTTGCCCCGCCCCTCCCACCTGAATCAGAGGCCCCTCTGTCGTCCCATAGCCCCCTGCACAGCACATCTCATGGTACTTGTTTGTAACTGTGCATGTGCCCTTCAAGGGGAAACCTGAGGATTTCCTTGATTTATCCTCAGTTGCAGAAGCTGCTTCTAGGGGGTGATGGGCTGGCTCCTGGGAACTGCTCACCTATGGAAATACACAAGAAATAGACCAGAGGTTGCCTGATGAGCAGGACACGGCCCCAGGAGGCAGGTGATGCTAGTGATGTTGGAGGAATGCTTTAGAGAAATTCGTGTGGGGCAAGAAAAGCTAAAGTGTCAACTGGCTGGGCAAACAGCATCCAGGGAGGTTTTGCTTAAGTGTTTTAAGGTGAGAGATGTTGGGTTTAATCCCAATGGCAAGGGTACCTCGAGAGGGAAAGAGTGAGGATGGGGGACATTGAAAGGGAACAGCAAGAGGTGGGGAGGAGATCAGGAGGGGCAGAGCCTCCCTAGTAACTGTGGAGGGAGGAGGTAGAGTGTAAGGAAGGCAGGCTTGGGGTTTGGTGATGCAACACGAGCCTCCCATCTGATGGCTTCTGTTTTTCCTGTGTAGCACTGGGGTCAGAGGTTTGAGGAGACTGCAGAGTGGAAGAGAGCTGACCAGATGTCAGCAGGCTGGGTAGTGAGGGGGGCCTCCATCTGGGTTTGCCAGATGGGGACAATGAAAACAAAATCAGGGAGGTGGGGGTCGACAACATTGGCTGGATGACAAGTGATGAGAGCCACGCTGGGTGGGGGTAAAAGGACAGAAGGAAGAAACCAAAAGGCCGTGGGACCCAGGAGAGTCACTCCCTGCTGGGAGGAGAGAGGCACTAAGGGAGGCACAGTCCCTGGAAGAGGAGGAAGTGAGTAGAGGTGAGTGCCTTGGAGGGTGACCTGGGCAGGGTGGTGGGCAGGAAACCCAATGGCAATAAACTTGGGTGGGGGTTATCATGGTCTAGAAGGGACCCCAAACCTACTCTTGACCCTAAGACACCTCCAGAGGGCTGCAAGGAATGGGCTTCTTAGGGCATGAGGCTGGGAGAGGTGGGGTGGGGGGTCCCCACAGTCTCTGGGAGAGAGCCAGTCCTGGGCTCAGATGCCAGGCCAGAGGACTTTCCAGGGACACTGGCCACCCACAGACAAGCTCAATGGTGAGGTAATGCGGTGGTGAGGACCTTTCTGGGTGTAAGTGATAGAAACCAACTCAAGCCACCATGGGCAAAAAGGAAAGTTTCTCAGCCTGTGTACGCAGCACCCAATAGATGTGGAGGAGGCCTTGGATGGGCCTGTGCCCCGGGGCAGGGAGGGGAGCCTGGCGAGCTCTCTTCCTCAGCTCTGGTCTCCGGGTTCAGTTTTATTCATTCTCCCAGGCTGGTTCCTGCAAGGGGATAGAACACGGATGTCAGCAGTTTGTTTCTTTGTCAGTTCTTGCAGCAGCCAAACTCATCGAAAAACAAGCCAAACCCTGCCACTCTCCCTCCCAGCATGTCAGCGGGGCAGCCCTGAGACTCCTCCACCTCCCCAGCTTCTCTCCTAGATGTTCTGCCCTAGACTTTGTGTCCACTTTGACCAACCCTGTGCCACTGCACGGGAGGCCCGGTCGGCACTGCCCTTGAGGGTGGTGGGTACTGTCAGGGATCCTCCTGGGTGGTGCTGGCAGCCCTGAGTTCGGAGACCTGAGGGCAGGGCCGGGTTCGCCTGCCTTCCCCAGACTGACAGCACTAGGGGAGAGCCCCAGGACCGGCCCCGAGCCCTCTGCGCCCGCGCGTGGGAGCCGCGAACGCGAGGCCAGCTCCGACCGCGGCCCCGCCTGCCGCTGACCCGCTCGAGCCGCCGTCGCTGTCACCGCCAAGGGCGGTGCTCCGACCCCGAGCGGGCGGAGACCGGCGGGGCCCCGCCCCCGGAAAGCGAGCCCGCGCCGGGCGGGCCAATGGGGGCGTGCCTATCCGGGCCCCGCCCACAGGGGGGCGGGGCGGGCCGCGCAGGCGCACGGCGCGCCCGGGCGGGCCGGCTGGCTGGGAAGATGGCGGCAGGAGCCTTGGCCGCGGCGGGGGAGCGGGCCCGGGGCGTCCGGGGTGTGCGGGCCGGGGCCGGGGCCGGGCCATGAGCGCGCCGCCCTCGCGTCCCCGAGCCGCGGAGCCCGCCCGCGCCCCTCGCCATGGCGCGGCTCGCGGACTACTTCGTGCTGGTGGCGTTCGGGCCGCATCCGCGCGGTGAGTGCCGGCCCGCGGCGGGGCCGAGGGCCAGGGCCGGGGTCGGGACCGGGAAGGGTCCGCCGGGCCCGCGCGGAGGCGTCCGGGAGCCGGGCGGGTCGGGGTCGGGGTCGGGGCGGCTTGGGGTCGGGGCCGGGGTGGCCTGCCCGAGGTGGGCAGGGTGGGAGACGGGGCGAGCTGAGCCTCCCGCCGCCCTCGGCCGACCCCGGTCCGGCAGCGCCTCGGCGTCGGCCTGGGAGGTGGGAGGGCCCTGGGCCGGCTCGGCCTCCGGACTCCCGGTTGGGTGGGATGGGCTCTCGCTGCCTTGGCTGACTGCCGGTGGCTCTGCCTCCAGGGGCGCGATCGTTGTTGCAAGCCCCTCCTCTGACCCCCAGTGCCTCTGTCTGAAGCCTCAGGCCCCGTGTGGGACGTCTGGGGTCCAGGAGGCTTGGTGGGATGCAGAAGAGGGGGGATGGAGGGACTGCTTCACGAAGAGGTGCTGTTGAGTTGGAACTCGGAGCACTTCAGGAGGAAATATGGGGAGGAGAGAGACGAGCCTTCCTGGCAGAGAGCCTGGGGTCCTCATACCTGCGAGCCAAGCCCTGGATGGGGGTCATTGTGGTGACTGGTGTCGATGTCCAGGAGGTCCCTGTCTAGGGTCAGCGCCTGTGTCTGAGAGCCCTTCAGCCCAGGGGGTAGGAGAAAACGGAGCTTGACAATGACATCAGCAACAGCCGTGGAGACAGCAGTGTTGGAGAATGCGCTCAATGTGCCAGGCCCTGCACAGCCCTTTGTGTGCATGGTCTCACTTGTTCATCCCAGCAGCCCACCGAGGTTTCCCTGCTATTGCCCCCATCCGTAGAGTGGAGTCAGGGCAAAGAGATTGAGTGCTGGTCTGAGTCCCCACAGAGGGGCCAGGATTCGCACCCAGGCTAACCCAGAGCCAAGCTCTGGGCTCAATCCCAACTGCGAGGGGTCATTGTGTGTCAGTGGGGGAAGTGGGAATGGCTGTGTGGTCAGGCTAGGGCTGAACCTTGAGCTGAAGGTAGAGTGAGCCCCTCAATTTCTGCTACTGCTTATCAGCCCAGTTACCACTGTCACCACCCAGAAACTGGACTTTCTCTTTGCCCTTCTTGCTGAGCCTCACCTGCTGGACCCTGTATGCCCCAGACCCTCCTCAGTGCCCTCTTGTGGTACTTGCTCCTCCTCCCTGCTCTCTCTGTCCGAGTATCCATCCCCTGACACTCAGTCATAAGTGTATCTTTTCCTCCAGAGAAGGAGTTCTTGTAGGCAGGGACCCATTGTGTTCATCCTCTGGTCTGCATGCAGCAAGCTCACTATCAGTGTTGTACAGGCCCACGGAGGGAGAGCTGTCTGCTCCAAGGCACATGTAGGGGGCATTGAGGAGGCCATGCCACCTGGAGCAGCGGGGTGCACGGGATCCAGGGAAACAAGGCCGACCTTGTTTCCAGGGTGGCCCCAGTGTGAGGGCGCCTGGGCCAGGTGCCAGGGCAGAGGCTGCATGAGCAGAGTGGACTTGGAGGCTGATGATGCTGAGGGTGCTTTGGGAAGAGTCTGAGGAGGCATAGACCACGGTAGAAGCATGCTGACAGTAGAGGTGGGGAGTTGAGAGTGAATGCGAGGGAGGCGAGAGGGGGCATGGGTGGGCTCCATGACAAGCTGGCTGTGCCATGTGTGTGCTTACTGTGAGAGCCACATGCAGGGTGGGTTCCCCGGGGTGTGTGGCCTCTGAGCAGGATGGGAGAAAGCTGGAGCCCATAGTGCCCACTCACTCTGAGAGGTGGGAAGGAAGGATTCCCGGGCTATCTCCTGCAGTAGGAGTGAGGGGCTGTGGAGCCTCCACACTGCTGCCTTCCAGGGTCGGAGCTGGTCAGCTGTGGGCTGCCACCCAGCCTCAGGGCCTCCCTTGGCAGGACTCATCCGTCCCTGTGATGAACAATCCCTCAGGCTGACCCTGGCTGTGGGGCTGAGGGCAGAGCTAGGTGGTGGGCGGAAGCCTGAATCAGAGGAGCACCATGGGGGTTGGGGGGGTCAGTGGTCCCTGCTTTGTGACCTTGGGCCAGTCTTTTAGTTCTCTGCACCTCAGTTTCCTCATATGGAGAGGGGATGAGTCCCACAGCCCTCCCAGGCTCCTATGAGCACAAAATGGACTCACACATGACGCTGTTCCCACAGAGGCTCCAGGGAGCGATGGGGATCTCATTAATGATGAACAGCAGGGTGGACACCCCTGGGCACAGACACAGTGAGCTCCTGTGCAGGTGGTGGAGCACTCCTGCGCACTGGCAGGCCTAGGACATCAGAGCAGGGATGCAGGGTCCTTTGGGTTCCATGGTGGGGGTAGAAGTGGTGGATGTCTTGTCCTTGGCCTGGATCTGGACACCCTGTGTGGAGCTACTGGATGCAGGGCCTGGGTGTTGAGTCGCAGAGTCCTGCCTGAGGGAGCATCCAGGTTTCGTGGTTACCACCTGGTGGATCTCTCCAGGCAGGAGGCGTGAAGGGGGCTGGGTGGGAGCCCTTCTCTCATCTTGGAGGACACAGGCATTCCTCTGGTGAGTAGGGGGAGTGCCTTCACTGGGGATATGGGTTTAGTACCTTCTGCACCCTGGGTCTGGCTCTGGGGACATTGTGGAGGCCAGTTAGACTACCAGCACTCAGCTTCTGGTCCGGGAGGGCCCTGACAGTGGTCAGCTGGTTTAACACGACATGGCCAGTGCCAGGGTGTGTCTTTGGGAGAAGGAGATGCAGCTGACCTGACCAGGCGGCCGAGTGCATGTCTGCCAGGGGAGGGACTGGCCCCCTCTGTGCTGGAGGCGCTGCCTCCCCAGTGTCTGAGAAGAAGACTTCCACGCCTCGCCTGGCCTCTCAGTCCTGACTGTGCTGAGCTGGCTGCGTTCCTGGGCCCCATCTCGTCTCCCCACCCTTGTCCCTGCCCTCACTCTGGAGCAGGTTGGGGCTGTTTGGGATGGCCTCAGCTGGCTCCCAGTCCCCACCCTGGGGAGCCTGAAGGGTCCAAGGCCTTGGGTCAGAGCCGGTCTGGTCAGACTGGGGGGAGGTTGGGGAGGACCAGTGGAAAGGCTGCAGTCTCTCTGCACGTCTTGCCGCCGTGGCTGGCCGGGGACAGCCTGTATGCTAGGGTTTGGGTGGGTGGGTAGGGCAGCAGGAAGATGCTGTCCTCCCTTCACCGTCTTCCCAAAGCTGGGCTTGTCCCAGGGTGTGTGCACTGAGGGGTGTGGAGGGGCGGGAGGGCCAGCAGAGGAGGCTGCTGTCCTCCTGTGCCTCTGCCCACAGTGCGTGCTGGCCCGGGCCAGCCCTCCAGGCGTCGGAGCCTGGCACTGGTGACGGGTGCTGCCAGCAGATGACAGAACGTGTGCTCTGTGTTCTCCGGCCCCTCGTTCAGGCCTGCAGCCACACTGGGCTGCCTAAGGGGACATGGCTGCAAGAGGAAGCTCTTGTCTCCGTCTGTCTCAGGGGACGTTGGTGCCCTTCCTCCTAGGGCCCCCCAAAGAGCCCCGCCCTGTCTCGCATGGCTGTGCCGGTTGGATTAGTTCTGTCACAGTGTGTGGGGTGGTGCCCTCCCTCCTCTCTGCCCCAAGGTGGGGGCAGCTCTAGAGGGGCAAGGAGCTCAGCCACTAGAGCTTATGTCCATGGCCACAAGGGTTTGAGTGGGCGGGGGACACTAGGAGATGTGGCAGGAGTCCCCCCACCCCCAGGATGCAGACCAGCAGCCAAGCTGCAGCCTGGCACCTGCTAGCACAGAGCTGAGGTGTGGGCTGGGGTCTCGGAGAAGGGTCAGGTAGAGGCCAGGAGTCAGGGCCTCTCCATGGCCTGCCCTTCCAGGGACAGGCTGCTGTGTCCTGGAGTGCGGCGGGGCTCCGGAAACTGCCCTGCACTCCTGACTGAGGAACCTGTTTGCTTGTGGGGTGTGAGTGAGGCTGGGTGTGGGAGGATGGTGGTAGAGCCGGCTGTATACATTCAGTCCTAATTAGGCTGTGGTGTGTGCCAGGCACAGGTGCAGCGATGGATCCAGAGGCGTAGCTTCTTGCTCATGGAGCTCCCGTCTGGCCCAGCTGGCCAGCAGGTGCACCGGGATCACAGAGGGGTCTGGTGGAGGGAGGGAGGTCCTGGAGCTCCCACTGAGGCCCCAGGCTTAGGCAGGGTGCAGAGAGCTACCTGGAGGAGGGGACACTGTTTGTGCTGGGACCTGAAGGCCAAGTTTGGGGATGTCATGGTCCAGAGAAGGAGCTGGGAAGGCGAAACTTGCTCACCCTGCCCAGTCACCTGCCCTTGGAGGCAGTTGGGACAGCTCAAGGAAAACTTCCAGTTGGTTCTTCAGAGGGTGGAGCCTTGCAGGTGGGAGTTGACGTTTCACACAAATGAGATGGGGAGCGTGGGTGGTGGACAATGGCCAGCCACTCTGCCCACTCCCCTACAGGGAGAGGCTGCTGGGAGCAGCCCTGTGAAGGCTGCCTGTTCGCCTGGCCTTGGGAGGGAGGCTGTGGGGCAGAGACTGCTGTCCCCATCTACACATACCCCCTCTTCCCTCCTCTGCTTGCTGCCTCGTGGCAAGAACTGGGTGAGCCCTGGGTGTCAGCCAGGCTTGGGGCCGCACACAAGTCAGCCCTTGGAGGAGTGAGGAGGCGCGGGAGGAGCCACAGCGCAAGGCAAGCTGGCTGGGGGCCTGTTGAGGGTGGCCCTTGGGGGTGGACCTGGAGGAACCCCAGGGGGCTTCGTCTTGGTGGGCCGTGTGCGTTCATGTGTGTAGGTGGGTGTGGCACCAGCAGACATCTGTTCTTCTCCCCCACCTCGTCCTGTCTGCCGCCTCAACTTGGGGTGTCAGTGGTGGGGGGAGGGGAGCAGGAAGCTGAGGTTTGTGAGTCAGAGTCGTGGCCCCTCGCCACCGCTTCCAGCCGGCAGCAGCCTAACACTGCTGACCTCTGTGGCACTGCCTCCCTCCATGATCCTGGAGGGTGGGGAGGTCTCCTGAGATTGCATTTCAGCTCCTCTGCCTTCAGGGGCCTGGGGAGTGTGTGCTCTTGGGGTCTGTTCACCAGTGCCCATGGGTCTAGGCCTGTGCTCGGGCCCCCAGCTCTGTCTGAGGCTCCTGCGCCCATGCAGGTTGTGGGCGGACCAGGCCAGCTGGACATGGCGCCACAGTTCGGCAGGCCCTCAGAGGCTGCACACGGTGGCCTCCTGGGCCTTGGAGCAGACCCTTAGGGAGGTTCCATGCTGAGCGCCCTCCCTGCACCCATCTGCCCCTGCCCTTTTGCTGGTGTGGGCAGCAGTGTTGAGGCTGGTTCGAGCAGAGGGCAGGGACATCTGTGCCTGGGGACCTGCGTGTGGTGTGTGGGAGTGAAGGTGGGGAGGCTTTTTTCTTTCGCTCTTCATCCTGCTGCCATGCTGGGTGGGAGCTGGAGGAAGAACAGAGACCCGTGCCCATCCTCCATACATCCTGCGAGGCAAGTGGTCTCCTGACATGGCCCTTGTTAAGCCTCCTGGTTTGGCTCTGTAGGGGGTGAGCAAGAGGCAGGGGCCTCCAGCTGGCCCCACTGGTGTGTACTGGACCTGAGAGCAGTGCCCTGAGGGCAGAGTAGGGGAGCAGACCAGAGGGAGCTTAGTGGGCCATGGGGTTCCAGGGAGTGGAGGGGGTCTCTGGGGAACACATTGGGAGCTAGCAGTCTGGGGATGCAGTGTGCCAGGGGCACATGCATGGACACGGGCCTCCTGTCCCCCAGGCCCCTGGCCTCCTCCCTGGCCCAGGGACCAGGGCTGGGCTGCACTTGGCGCCCTGCTCTGTGGCTGACACATGGTGGCCAGCGTGGGCGGGGAGCAAGCCTGTGTGCTACCACCTCCAGCGCTTCTTCAGTGGGCGTCATGAGATCAGGTCCTTGTCCTTCCTGCCAGGTGCCAACCTTCCCTGGGACATGCTGGCTGTTTTCTGGGACCTGTGCTGCACCTGCTTGTCTCTGAGGCAGCAGGGCCAAGCAGAAGTTGGGGCTGTGGGCATGGGTGGTCTCTCCCCTGGCCTAGACAAAGTGTGAGACCTCTGTACCTCTCTCATGGGCCCAGGGCTGGTGGGTGAGGCGGAGCCAGGGAACAGGGCGAGGTGCTGAGCAGGGTGCCCACTGTCCTCTTGGTGTGTACTGCCTGGCAGGCTGGGGGCGGGGGGTCATGAAAGCCAGGTGCCTAAGCTGGGGGTTGGCTTTGGAACTGTCTGGAACTACTCTTCCCCTCACTGGGAGGCACGTGCTGTGCAGTAGGGCTGGTGTGCTGCAGGCTGGAGGTGGGTTCTGGCTGGGGATGTTGACATGGAGGGGTGGGGTCTGGGAGTGAGTGGGGAGCAGGGAGTGTCCCTGGGGCCAGGGCTTTTGTGCTCTTGGTGCCTGGTCTAGCGAAAGGCTTGCAGGGACTCTGATCCCACAGCAGAGGTTCCTCTCTGTGCCCTCTGGTGGCCCTCAGGTCTGTGACTGCCTAGTGGCCTCTCCTCACAGGAGTATTTTTAGGGAAATGACAGGTCTTGGAACTGAGGCTGTTGTGGTGACAGATGAGGGCCAGGGTGGGTGGGACGTTTCCACCCAGGGGCCTTGATGTAGCCATGTGAGACTTTTGAGGCTCCTGACTGGGTGTGGGTATGAGTGTGGGAGGTAGTAGGTGTTCTGACCACCTGCTCCTGTCCTCAGGGAGTGGGGAAGGCCAGGGCCAGATCCTGCAGCGCTTCCCAGAGAAGGACTGGGAGGACAACCCGTTCCCCCAGGGCATCGAGCTGGTGAGTGGAGGTGCTCCCCTAGGGTGTCGAGCTGGGGGTGGGAGGTACTGAGATGGTGGGGGCAGGTGAAGGCCAGGCCAGCAGCCCAGCGTTTGTCCCTCCTGGACTGTGAGGAGCCTCCGTGGTGCACAGCCCCTGCTGGGCACAAGATGTCAGGACTACTACAGAGGGCAGGGGCGCTGGCTGGCTGGCAGGGTGCCTTGTATCCACAACATGTCGTCTTATCCCTTTCTCATGATGGTGGGGACTGCATCCTGCGTCCTAGAGTCCTCACCCCACACAGTGAGGCCAGAGGCTGTTAGTCTTTTTTGTGGGGCAGGGGACTGAGGTCCCGGAGGTGACGCGCCGCCAGGGTCACAAAGCAAAGTGTTCCCTGCTACATTGGAACCCGGCATCCGGGCCTTGGCTGTGCAGGCACTGGAGGGCAGGGGCACAGAAAGCTGAGTGCTGACCCCTGACCCCTCCTGCCCCGCAGTTTTGCCAGCCCAGTGGGTGGCAGCTGTGTCCTGAGAGGAACCCACCGACCTTCTTTGTTGCCGTTCTCACTGACATCAACTCTGAGCGGCACTACTGCGCCTGCCTGACCTTCTGGGAGCCAGCAGAGCCCACACAGGTCAGCTTGGGGCTCTGGGGTGCAGCCTGTGTGGGGCTGAGTCTCTGGCTGTGACTGCCTCTCTCTGCCCCTGTCTGTGACTGGTCCTGACACCCCAACCCCATGGAGGCTGGAGTTCCTGAAGGGCTGGTCTCGTCTGAGTCACCTGTGTCCTCCTGGGCTCGTGGGACGTGCCTGAGAGCCAGGCGAATGGGGCTTCTGTCCACAGGAAGCAGTGTGCACCGAGGATGCCCCCGAGAGGGAGGAGGAGGTGGATGAGGGAGGCCCAGTGCGACTGTCACCTGCAGCGCCCGGCCCGCCTGGCCAGCTGTTTGCTCCAAAGACGCTGGTGCTGGTGTCTCGACTGGACCACGCGGAGGTGTTCAGGGTGAGGTGGGCACCGAGGGCGCAAGCAGGATGTGTGGTGCTCCCACTGGCTGTGCTGCCATTCCCCAATCTCTGGTCCTTGCAGAACAGCCTTGGTCTCATCTACACCATCCATGTGGAGGGCCTGAATGTGGGCCTGGAGAACGTGATTGGGAACCTGCTCACATGCATCATCCCCCTGGCTGGGGGCTCGCAGGTGGGTCTTGGGGGCAGCTGCTGTCCACCCGCAGCTATGGGCCCTCCTGGTGCCACAGCTGTGGGGGTGGGGCCTGGTAGGCAGTTGGAATCCAGCCTGAGCTGAGTGTGGCCCCAGGCCTTGGACGCTCTCCTGCGTCTTGGTGCTACTGTCACCCAGCGTCTTTTCTCTGCCCTGCCTGCTTGCCTGTGTGTCCCGTGTCTCACCTGGCTCTCCACCTGGCGTCCTTCAGTTTCTCTGTCCTCTCGCTCCTTGAGTTTGCCTGTCTCTGGATGTCGGTGTCAGCTTGTCTGTCTGCTCCTTGGTCCATGCCCCCACGTGCGGGTGTGTCTAACCGTGTTTCTCTACCTGTCTGTCCTGTGCAGCTGGACTCTGTTGAGGACGGAGTGGTACGGATTCTTTGTTTCTTCTGCCCACCCAGGCCCCGCCCCTGCCCCAGGTCAGAGGCCCTGAGTTTCCTCTGCAGCACTGCTTTGGCCCACAGAGACTGGGCATGGCCTTTCCCTCATGCCATGCCGCCCTTCCCAGCCAGTCCCGCCATGGAGTCTGTCAGTCTACCAGGCCCACCTGAGGCTGCGGAGCTCTGGGCGGACACGCGTCTGGTTGGAATGCTGAGTGTCGGTCTCTCTCTTTCCACAGAGAACCATCTCGTTGGGGGCTGGCGACCGGCAGGTCATCCAGACCCCGCTCGCCGACTCGCTGCCCATCAGCCGCTGTAGCGTCGCCCTGCTCTTCCGCCAGCTGGGTGAGCCCACCTGTCCCCTCCACTCCACCTGGGGACTGGCGGTCAGAAGTCAGGGTTCTCAGTGCCTGGGTTGGATGCCAGGGCCCCTTCAAGCCTGTCCTCTCCTTTTAGGTATCACCAACGTGCTGTCTTTGTTCTGTGCTGCTCTCACGGAGCACAAGGTGCTCTTCTTGTCTCGGAGCTACCAGAGGCTCTCAGACGCCTGCCGGGGGCTCCTGGCACTGCTGTTCCCTCTCAGATACAGGTGCACACTGCCTGGCCCCTCCACCCTGCCCCCTCTGCCCAACCCTTCTGCCTGGCCCCATCCTCTGTGGGGCTTGCACACTGAGCCCCCGCCTCTTACAGCTTCACCTATGTGCCCATCCTGCCGGCACAGCTCCTGGAAGTCCTCAGCACACCCACCCCCTTCATCATTGGAGTCAATGCGGCCTTCCAGGCAGAGACCCAGGAGCTGGTGAGGGCTGTGGTTTGTGTCTGCCTTGCTGCTCTAGGCCTTGCTGACTGGCCTGTGGGTCCCTGACCACTTGCTCCCTTTGGTCCACAGCTGGACGTGATTATTGCTGATCTTGATGGAGGGACGGTGACTGTCCCCGAGTGTGTGCACATTCCATCCCTGCCAGAGCCACTGCAGAGTCAGACACACAGTGTTCTTAGCATGGTGAGCCAGGGCCTGGGACCACAGGGGAGCTTGGGCCTCAGGGAAGCCGGGGTGGAGCCCCTTGGCAGCAAGGGGAGCCCAGGGTCCGGGGCTGGCATGCAGCTGACCCCACTCCCCTCTGCTCCTGCAGGTCCTGGATCCAGACCTGGAGTTGGCAGATCTCGCCTTCCCCCCACCCACGACATCCACTTCCTCCCTGAAGATGCAGGTGCAGGGCCCCCCACCTTGTGCCCTCTCCTTAGGTCTGCGGCTGCTGGTGGCTGGCTGGCAGTGCTGAGCCTGCTGTGTGGCCACCTCTTCTGGGGCGGTTGCAGGAGGCTGCATGGGAGGAGTGAGCCTCTGAGGGCCTGTGCTATAGTGGTTGTCGGCACTGAGTCTTAGAGGAATCACCATGGCTTTGTGTGGAGGAAGGTTGGAGGGGTGGGGGTGGGGATGGGGGTGGGGGGGGGGCAGGGCTGCCCGGGGAAGCCTGGGCAGCATAGACAGGTGGGTTTGAGTGAGAAGAGGTTGAGCCTGGGGTGGGCGCAGGGGTATGCAGGGGCCTGGGTAGGCCTGTGGGCCTGGTGCTTACGTGCACCCACCTGTGCCCCAGGACAAGGAGCTGCGTGCCGTCTTTCTGCGGCTCTTTGCTCAGCTCCTGCAGGGCTACCGCTGGTGTCTGCACATGGTCCGCATCCACCCAGAGCCTGTCATCCGTTTTCATAAGGTGGGCCTCCAGGCAGGGGCAGGGGTGGAGGGGGTGGAGGGGGTGGGGAGGTAAATGCCCAAGGAGCTGACCTCCTGGTGTGCCCCTAGGCAGCCTTCCTGGGCCAGCGTGGGCTGGTGGAGGATGATTTCCTGATGAAGGTGCTGGAGGGCATGGCTTTTGCAGGCTTCGTGTCGGAGCGTGGGGTCCCTTACCGCCCTACGGACCTGTTTGATGAGGTGCATCCCCACCCCAGCTGGGAGGAGCCCCCGCCACCCCCTCCTCACCCCAGCCAGCCCACCTGACCCTGCCTCCTTCCCCAGTTGGTGGCCCACGAGGTGGCACGGATGCGGGCGGATGAGAACCACCCCCAGCGTGTCCTGCGTCACGTCAAGGAACTGGCAGAGCAGCTCTATAAGAACGTACGGAGGCGGCGTGAGGGGGTGGGCTAGCCCAGCAAAGTCACTGGTGCCGCCCCGGCCTGGCCTCTTGCCCACGCCTGCCTGTGTCCCCCCAGGAGAACCCATACCCTGCTGTGGCTATGCACAAGGTGCAGAGACCAGGGGAGGCCAGTCACCTGCAGCGGGTGCCCCGGCCCTTCCCCCGGCTGGACGAGGGCATGGTGCAGTGGATTGTGGACCAGGCCACGGCCAAGATGCAGGGTGCACCCCCGGCTGTGAAGGCTGAGAGGAGGACAACTGTGCCCTCAGGTCCCCCCATGAGTGCGTAGCGGGGAGAGGGAGCCCTGAGCATGGCCCAGGGTAGGCATGAGTTCAGGGGTGAGTGCATTCTCTGCTCCCCAGCTGCCATACTGGAGCGGAGCAGCGGGCTCCATGGCAACAGTGCACGCCGTCTGGAGGTGGTCCGAAACTGCATCTCCTATGTCTTTGAGGGAAAGATGCTTGAGGCCAAGAAGGTGAGGGCGTGCGGGGAGTGCTGGGGGCTCTGTTGAAAGGGAAGCCTGTGTACCGGCAGGAGGGCTCTGACCTGGAGTCAGGGCAGCATCTCTCAGGAGCCCCAGCCCTTGTTTACCTGCCAGCAGCTGGAGGGAGCTGGGCTGGCAGGAGGGGCAGGTGGGCACCAGGTCTCAGATCTCCCCTGCATCCCAGCACAGCTGGACGGGGCCTGCTGCGGAAGCTGCACGAGAGGGATTTACTTCAGCTTTTAGATAGCAGAACACCCTAAAAGTTTTTAATATTCAGTTTCTTCTTCATCCTTCGTGAAAAAAAAAGGGTGCAGACCCTCCACCTGTCATTTTTTTTTTAAGTTATGGAAAGTGGAACCTCCTCACACACTTCTGCCCTTTGTGGTCTTCATTAACACCTTGGGGTCTCTCACAAGAGCCAGTTTGAATCTGTTTTGTGTTTCACAGCTGTGTGCTCCCCTTTGAGGCACCTGGTTCTTCCACTAGCCCTTTATTGGGGGCCTGCGGGGTCCCGGGTGCTTTACAGTGGACGATGGTAACAACAGGACAACCATGCTGTCCTTTCTGCAGCCCACCCGCTGCAAGCCAGCTGCCGGCTCTGTGTTACGCTTGAGTTTTCTGGACACCAAGGCCCCGGTGGGCTGAGTACTGGGGCTCAGGGCTGTGGGGCCTCACTCCAGAGCACGTCGGTGCACTGGCTTGAGAGCATGCTGCCTTGCTGTCCTTGTGTCGCCATCATCATGAGCTTTTGTGTGTGCAGGGCTGGGCCCACTAGAGGTGCTAATGAGGCTGCAGAGTTTGGGCACACATGACCTGGACAGATCCTGGGTCCCCTCCATACTTGGAGCCTGGGCTCTGGCCTCCCGGGTGCCCACTGCCCTCCCTCCTGGGCTCTGTGCCTTGGCCTTCCCCGTGCCTCCCTCCTGCCCTCGGCGTGGCTGGATGGGTCCCGTGTAGGCAGTGCCCTCAGCCCCGTGTTCCCCTGGCCCCAGCTGCTCCCGGCTGTGCTGAGGGCCCTGAAGGGGCGTGCGGCCCGCCGCTGCCTCGCCCAGGAGCTACACCTGCATGTGCAGCAGAACCGGGCAGTCTTGGACCACCAGCAGTTTGACTTCGTCGTCCGCATGATGAACTGCTGCCTGCAGGTTAGGCCGGGCCTCCCACCCTGCCAGCAGTGTGGCCGTTAGTCGGGGCGGGCGGGGTTCCCCAGTCTACCCAGAAGGGTGTGTCTTCTGGCAATGCTGATAGCTGGGGAGACCCTGGGCTGCTGGTGGGGATTGTGGGTGAGAACCCTTGTTGGAGACAGGGGTTCTCGTCTCTGGTGCCCAGATTTCCTGTCCTGAATCTTGGAGCAGCCCTGGGGGCTGGTGCAGCTGGTTCAGGGACAGTGGTGGGAGGTGCTGCTCTGGCAGCAGTGCCAGTCGGGGTGTGAGGAGTGTGGGGAGAGGGTTCCGACGGTCTTGTGGCTTTGCTGCAGGACTGCACCTCCCTGGATGAGCATGGCATAGCAGCTGCTCTACTGCCCCTGGTCACGGCCTTCTGCCGGGTGAGTGCTGGGGTGGCCCAGGTGTCCCCCCCAGCCCCTTTCCGCTGCACCCAGTGACTCCAACCTGGCCTCTGCAGAAGCTGAGCCCGGGGGTGACGCAGTTTGCGTATAGCTGCGTGCAGGAGCACGTGGTGTGGAGCACGCCGCAGTTCTGGGAGGCCATGTTCTACGGGGATGTACAGACCCACATCCGAGCCCTCTACTTGGAGCCTGCCGAGGACCGAGACCCCTCCCAGGTATGGGGGTACTCCCTGGGCCTGGGGGAGCGGGACTGGCCTGGCCCTGGCTCACCTTGGCACTCTGGCAGCTTGGAGAGGCGTCTGCACAGGATGAGCGCTCTGCCCTGGACGTGGCGTCTGAGCAGCGGCGTCTGTGGCCAACCCTGAGCCGTGAGAAGCAGCAGGAGCTGGTGCAGAAGGAGGAGAGCACAGTGTTCAGCCAGGCCATCCACTACGCCAACCGCATGAGTTACCTGCTGTTGCCCCTGGACAGCAGCAAGAGCCGCCTGCTGCGGGAGCGTGCGGGGCTGGGTGACCTGGAGAGCGCCAGCAACAGCCTGGTCACCAACAGGTGGGGGCCAGGCCTCAGTGGGCCTTAGAGGGTGGGTGGGGCTCAGGATGGGATGGGGCCTGGGTGGGACAGGCCTCGGGTGGGATGGGTCTGTGCCCACCGTGCCCCCTCCCTGGCCCAGCATGGCGGGCAGTGTGGCGGAGAGCTATGACACGGAAAGCGGCTTCGAGGATGCAGAGACCTGCGATGTGGCTGGGGCTGTGGTCCGCTTCATCAACCGCTTCGTGGACAAGGTCTGCACAGAGAGTGGGGTCACCAGCGACCACCTCAAGGGGCTGCATGTCATGGTGCCAGGTATGGGGGGGTCTGGGCATGGAAACACTCCCACTGACGGGTAGGCAGGGGGCCCAGGGCGTGAGGACTGCTCTCCTCCAGACATTGTCCAGATGCACATCGAGACCCTGGAGGCCGTGCACCGAGAGAGCAAGAGGCTGCCCCCCATCCAGAAGGTGAGTGAGGGCCGGGTGGGGCTGTGGGCTCCAGGGCTGGGGCTGTGTCCTGAGGCTCGGTTCCTGTCCCTGAGCAGCCCAAACTGCTGCGGCCGCGCCTGCTGCCTGGAGAGGAGTGTGTGCTGGACGGCCTACGTGTCTACCTGCTGCCAGACGGGCGAGAGGAGGGCGCAGGGGGCAGTGGGGGAGGGCCTGCACTGCTCCCAGCCGAGGGCGCCATCTTCCTCACCACATACAGGGTCATCTTTACGGGGATGCCCGCCGACCCCCTGGGTGAGCCTTTGCACCCACTTCTGCGCCCACCCTCCCCTCCCTTACCCACCCACTGTCTCCTCCTCCCCCACCTTCCAGGGGCCCCCCATAGCTCTGGGATCCCCTCCCCTCCCCACCCCCCTGACTCTGCCTGGCCTGTTATAAGTGGGGGAACAGGTGGTGGTCCGCTCCTTCCCGGTGGCTGCACTGACCAAGGAGAAGCGCATCAGCGTCCAGACCCCCGTGGACCAGCTCCTGCAAGACGGGCTGCAGCTGCGCTCTTGCACATTCCAGGTCAGGCCAGGGGTGTGGGGTGTGCGGCGGGCCATGCTGGGGCAAGGTGGGCATACTGGGAGGGAGCATACTGGGGGAGACATGCTCGAGGGAGCTGGAGTGGGGTCGGGCCCTACTCTCGTGTGGGCGGCTGCGGCTCTCACTGGTTTACAGGTGTCTGAGCCCTCAGTCTTGTTCTTATGAGCAGGCATTAAGCCAGATTTCCCCTGTGGCACTTATGATTCCTGAGTCTGCACAGGAGTCGCTGTGCATTCCTGTTTCCTTTGTGGGGCCCTGACCCTGGAGCCCATGTCTGGAGTGTGCTGCATGAGCCTAGCACAGTGGAAACTTACAAATAAAGATGAAACACCATTAACTTGGGTTCCTTGGCCTCACGGCCACACTGCAGCGCAGCGAGCAGCTTCCTCTGCGTGCCATGTCCTTGTGGCACTCTCTCGGGGGGACACGCCTCACCATGCCCCAGGGTGTCCACAGCTTGATGGAGAGGTGAGGTTGATCCTTCACAGCCCCACAGGGGGCCTGGCCACCCTGCTCCTGGGGCCTGTCTGGCCACTGGGTCCTCACTTGTCCATCCTGTTTGGAACACCCGAGTTCCAGTGACACAGCACCTGGGCGTCCGGAGGTTTTCCTGTGTCTGTGGCCAGGACTGTGCCTGTGTCTGTGGCAGGCCCACAGACTGCCCAGACCTCTGAGGCCCTCATGTCTGATGCAGCTGCTGAAGATGGCCTTTGATGAGGAGGTGGGGTCTGACAGCGCCGAGCTCTTCCGCAAGCAGCTGCACAAGCTGCGTTACCCGCCGGACGTCAGGGGCACCTTCGCCTTTGCCCTGGGCTCCGCCCACACGCCTGGCCGGCCGGCCCGTACCACCAAGGACAAGGGTCCTTCCTTCAGGTGTGGAACTGGGCCCCGAGGCCAGGGCACCTGCCCCTTTCAGAACTGCTGCATGCTTGTCCCCATATCCGTTCTGCTCACCTCTGCTGACCCTACATGCCCCCCAGGACCTTGTCCCGGAACCTCGTGAAGAATGCCAAGAAGACCATCGGGCGGCAGTATATCACTCGGAAAAAGTACAACCCCCCAAGTTGGGAGCACCGGGGCCAGCCACCCCCTGAGGACCAGGAGGACGAGATCTCAGGTGGGGCGTGGGAAGCCCTGGGTGGTCTGGATAAAGACGCTGTGTAGAGGGCTGGGGGGCCTGGGCGATCTGTGGGTGACAACCCAGTGTGCCTGGCCTGCCCCAGTGTCGGAGGAGCTGGAGCCCAGCACGCTGACCCCCTCCTCGGCCCTGAAGCCCTCGGACCGCATGACCATGAACAGCTTGGTGGAGCGGGCGTGCTGCCGGGACTACCAGCGCCTGGGCCTGGGCACACTGAGCAGCAGCCTGAGCCGCGCCAAGTCCGAGCCCTTCCGCATCTCCCCAGTCAACCGCATGTATGCCATCTGCCGCAGGTGAGGGCAGCCGCATCAGCCACACCATGGCGCCTGGCCAGACGAAACGAGGAGGGAGAGGGCAGAGGCTACAGGCTAGCGTGGCAACTGCCTCCCGCCAGGTGGCTTCTAGGAGGGTCTGCAGTGCCCTTGGCCTGTGAGCTTGGGGAGAGCCGCTCTGTGCGTTCCCTGTCCCTGTGACCTCCCTCACCCTCATTCGCTTCCTCACAGCTACCCTGGGCTGCTGATCGTCCCGCAGAGCGTCCAGGACAATGCCCTGCAGCGGGTCTCCCGCTGCTACCGCCAGAACCGCTTCCCCGTGGTCTGCTGGCGCAGCGGGCGCTCCAAGGCCGTGCTGCTGCGCTCAGGGGGCCTGCACAGCAAGGGTGTGGTCGGCCTTTTCAAGGCCCAGAATGCACCTTCTCCAGGTAACCTTCCTTGTTTCCACTGCCATGCCCTGTGCCCTGTGCCCACCTCGCCCCACCCGGGCTCTGACTCAGGCTGTGGCTCCAGCTCCAGCTCTTCCTCTAGGCCAGTCCCAGGCGGACTCCAGCAGCTTGGAGCAGGAGAAGTACTTGCAGGCTGTGGTCAGCTCCATGCCCCGCTATGCTGATGCTTCAGGACGCAACACCCTCAGCGGCTTCTCCTCGGCCCACATGGGCAGCCACGGTGAGGGATGTTTGACAGTAGAAGGACTTTTGGGGCGTTGTGGAGGCATTTATGGAGGGCAGGCCAGCAAGGGGGCAGGATGTTTGCAGTGTGGGACCAGGTAAGTGTTCTGAAGCCCTGCTCTGACCACTCTTCTCTCCCACCCAGCGTCAGCCTAGCTCCTTGATCTCCTTGTCTTCTCTGCCTATGGCCTCCAAGTCACTGAACACAGACCTTGAAACCCCAATATGGTCCCCGTCCCTCCTTCGTCCTTTTCCCCACCATGTCCCCACAACGTCACTGTGGTTCACCCTCCATTCAGGCCATCTACTGAACCTTACTGCTTGGCCCTGTCCTTCCCATCTGTCCGGCCCCTTGGGCTTTGACTGCAGTGGTCTCCCCATCTCTGTCCCAATCATGCGCATCCTTAACACACAGGTGGACCCAGGCCTGCAGGACCCTCCCCGCCTCTGTCCACACCCAGCCCTGCCCATAAGCTGGCGTCTCTCCTGATGGCCTTCTGACCTGTGCAGGGGGCCCATTGTCCCAGTTTGCAGAGGAGGCACCAGGCCTCAGGGGTCGAGGCATGGGCCCAGGGGCCATCCGCGGGCTCTCCCCCTCGCCACCAGGGCACTGGTGTGGGGTGGTCCCCAGGGGTGCTCGGTGATGTGAGAGAACATGTATTGCTGTCCACATGGGGGTGGACAGCCCTGTAGAGGGGGCCCCTGGCCTCCTGGGTGACTGGCAGGGACCCTGCTGGGGAGGTGAGCCATGTGGGTACTGGGCACTGAAAGGCTTCCAGACAGGAGAGGGCGCCATGAGGAAAGGTGCGTGGGCCACAGTCTGAGGCTGCAGGAGGGTGTGTGAGAACGGGGGGGCCTTCTTCTCTAGGGTCTCACTCCAAGGCGGTCACCTCTCCTGCATCCTGCTTACCCACCACCGACCCCATCTACTTCCACCTGACTCTGTCCTCCCGCATCTGACCCTATCTTCCCCCTCCCCACTTTGTCCCTCTGATGGATCCCATCTACCCCAGACTCTGTCCTCCCTGCTACCCCATCTCCCCCTCATCTGACCCCTCCCCACCCCACCCCATCTGCAACTCACCCCATCCTCAGCTTCCCCCATCTCCCCTCCCCCTCCTCCTGGATTCTCACTGATGCTCTGGCCCTGTCTGGCTCCTCCTTTTGGCTTGGCTGATAGATGCAGGGGCTCCTCAAGGGTTGGTCCTCAGACTTGTGAGTCCAACCACTGTGCAGCCCACGTTGGACCTCTGTGTCTGGAGCCTGGTTGTCTGGCAGCCTCTCATTCTGTGCTTGGACATCTCATCTCCCCACTGGAGGCATGAGGTCTGGGAGGCTGCCTGCCCCAGGCCTGGCCGTGGCCCAGACGCTGGCCCAAGGCTGCCTCCCAGCCCCTGGGCCTGCACCTCAGCAGGTGTGGTAACAGTGTCCACCTGGGAGGTTTGGTGGGTATGACTGGTTTATCCCACACCTGGAGCTGTCCTGGCCGTTGTGTGCTCAGAGTTGGTAGATGTCACACGAGGGGTCGCTTCTCTGAGACCCTGCCCACACCCTGGGTGATGCAGATGTCGCTCCCGGGCTTGCTTGTGGGTCAGGCCTTCTGGTCTCCTCCATCCCTCACGCTTATCTGCACTTTTCTCTGCTGCTGCTTCAGCTCCCAGACGCACTGGGGTACACAGGTGGGTTTTGGGGGCTGATGGCACCACTCACGGGCCGAGCCTCCTGAAAGCCCAGGTGCCATCCTTGATTCTTCCTGATCTGCCCACCTTGAGTCCCGTGAGCTGGCTGCCCAAGCCTGCAGTCTTCCTTGCAGCCAATTGCCCCTAGCCTAACCCAGGCCACTCCTGCCCGCTCCAGAGGTCTCCCGGTGGCCCCACCGCCTCTTCCTGTGGCAGGAGAGGCTCCAGAGCACACAAGGGCCTTCATCCTCCATAGTGGGGCCTGAGGAGCGTCCCCTGCACACCGTACTCCTGCTCCTGCATGGTGCTTCCTTTGCTGTCTGAGCACAGCCTCTGTCCCTGTTGACCCTGTAGGCCTCAGCTTGTGCTGCACGGCACCCTGAGCTCCTGAGCTCTGTCTGTATCTGTCGTTGCCCCTTGCTGGCACTGGGGCCAACGCGGCCAGGAACAGGGGTGGCCAGTCTGCCCTCGTGGATGCTGTCCGCACAGACCTTCTTGAGGGGCACAGACCTTACTTCTGTCTCATTCCTCTGCTAGTTCTAGTGGCTTTTGGTTTTCCAGACATCTAAGTCTGTCATTAAGTATGTTTTCCAGTCATATCGTCTTTCTGCTGTCTGCCCTCTCCAGAGGTTGAGTGGCGTCTATACTCAGAGAGCGGCACCCTCCCCGTGGAGCCCTTCGTCTCCCACTGCCTTCGTCTTCCCCTCATTTTCTTGGGCATCCCTGACTGTCCCCAAAGCTCAGTGGGGCTGCCTCCTGGTGTACTTGAGTTCTGGGTGTGGCTGCCCCCCTCAGTGCCGGGAGGCACATAGGGCTCCACTCACCCTAGCTGGACACAGGCTCCAGTCCGGGATCTGTCCATGTCAAGGTCACACCGTGTCCTTGTTGTGGGTGACTGTCCCTCCTGCTCACGGCAGGGAGGGCTGGTGTCGTGCTTGTCTGTGGCGACTGTGGCAGTGGGCAGGGGACTGCCCTGCTGCCCTTTCTGCAGAGGCACTGAGCCCTGAGCAGGGCCGGGCGCAGGCTTTGGAGCCCGGAGACCATTGTGGAGCTTCGTTGTGGGCGTCCTGTGCCACGAGGCTGGGCTGTCCCAGCCTGTAAGCCTCAGCCTGGCCCTCGCAGCCTGGTGCTGCCCTGAGGTTCGGGCCTGTCTGTGTCCTGCACTGAACTGCTCTCTGTGGTTCCAGGCTGGGAACTTCCAGGCTCTGGGCCTCCTCTTCTCGGGGCTGCGCCTCATGGCCCATCCTGCCACTGTGTGCTGGGCAGATACTTGGTGGCTGAGGGCAGAGGAATGGGCCATGGAGGAGGCATTTGAAGGAGACCCCAGCATTCCTGCCTCTCCTCTGACCCTTCCTACCCGCCACAGGCCCTCTGCTCCCTGGCCTGCCCTGGGGCCCACAGAACCTTGAGCTGAGCCCCGCTGTCTCCGGGGCTCTTGGGGGACTTGGTGGAAACCCAGCTCTGTACCTAGAGAGCTTTGGGCTGCAGGCCCCCTACATTGGGCGCACCCCAGACCTGGGCCCAGGCCTGAGCCTTCTCTCTGCTGTGCCCCCAGTGCCCAGCCCCAGAGCCAGGGTCACCACGCTGTCCAACCCCATGGCGGCCTCGGCCTCCAGACGGACCGCTCCCCGAGGTACCGTACCAGCAGTGCAGGCCAGCTCCCCCACACCTGGCACTGACAGCCCCCGTGTGACTAAGTAGTTGCAGGCACTAACGCCCCCCCCAACACCTGGCACTAACAGCCCCGTGTGATAGACAGCATAACCCAGTCCTCCTCACAGCCCTGGGCACTAACAGCCTGATGCCCTGAGTCTTGCCCCGGCCCCTGACACTAATGCAGGCACAGGCCCCCACTGGGGTCCCGTCGACCTCCCCTGCCCTACCCTGGGAGCTCAGCCCCAGGTAAGTGGTGTCCTGGCCCTGCTTGGGTGCTCACCTGGTTTCTCTATGCAGGTAAATGGGGCAGTGTCCGGGCCAGTGGGCGCAGTGGTGGGCTTGGTGCTGACGTGGGCTCCCGGCTAGCAGGCAGAGACATGCTGAGTTCCCCCCAAGCCAATGGGGCTCCCCCTGACCCAGGATTTTTGCGGCCACACCGTGCAGCTCTCTACATCATTGGGGACAAAGCCCAGCTCAAGGTGACTGGGGTTGGGGCATGGGGCCAGGCGGGGGCACAGGGCTTGGGCACATCTCACCATGGCCGGCCTCCTCCAGGGTGTGCGGCCAGACCCCCTGCAGCAGTGGGAGCTGGTGCCCATCGAGGTGTTTGAGGCACGGCAGGTGAAGGCCAGCTTCAAGAAGCTGCTGAAGGCGTGTGTCCCGGGCTGTCCTGCTGCCGAGCCCGGCCCAGCCTCCTTCCTGCGCTCGCTGGAGGACTCAGAGTGGCTGATCCAGGTCTCTGCACTGCCCCTGCTGCAGCTGAGGGTGCCTGCCTGGGTGTAGGCACCTAGAGCCAAGCATAGGATGGGGTCTCGGCTTGCTTGTGTGATGGTGTTGGGCCCTGGGAGGGGATGACAGCCACTTCCTGGCAGTGGTACCTGGACAGCGGAGGGAGACCGGGGTCCTCTGCTGTCTGTCAAGATGGGGCTGGGCATCTCAAGGGCAGGGGGTGCCTTTCGAGTCCTGGGGGACTTGGGAGGGCTGGAGGAATCAGTGGTTAGCATGTCAGAGCAGATGTGTTCAGTGCTGTCCCCACCTCGTAGGCTGCCCCTGGGTGTGGTGCTCACACGGCTGTTGCTCCCGTGGACATGTAGGTCTCAGGCCTGGTCAGGTGCTAGGGTCCATGGGTGCCGGCTCTGGGAGGTGCTGATGGGCTGCCGGTCCCTGCAGATCCACAAGCTGCTGCAGGTGTCGGTGCTGGTGGTGGAGCTCCTGGACTCGGGCTCCTCCGTCCTGGTGAGCCTGGAGGATGGCTGGGACATCACCACCCAGGTGCGTTGTGAGTTGTAGGGCCGGGTGGGGCAGGATCCCCTGGGTGCCCTCCTGACTGGCTGGTGGTGCTGGCAGGTGGTATCCCTGGTGCAGCTGCTCTCAGACCCCTTCTATCGCACCCTGGAGGGCTTCCGTCTGCTGGTGGAGAAGGAGTGGCTCTCCTTCGGCCATCGATTCAGCCACCGAGGGGCCCACACCCTGGCCGGGCAGAGCAGTGGCTTCACACCTGTCTTCCTGCAGTTCTTGGACTGCGTGCACCAGGTGAGTAGGTGGCCATGGGGCAGGGGGCGGCTGTGCATGCTGACTTGTCCCTTGGCCTCTTACCAGTGACCCTGCACAGGTCCACCTGCAGTTCCCCATGGAATTCGAGTTCAGCCCATTCTACCTCAAGTTCCTTGGCTACCACCATGCGTCTTGCCGCTTCCAGACCTTCCTGCTCGACTCAGACTACGAGCGCATCGAGCTGGGTATGGTGTGTGGGTGGGCATGGGCAGTAGGGCACCTGCAGGTGGGCAGCCAGGGCTCAGTACTGCCCCTTGCAGGGCTGCTGTACGAGGAGAAGGGGGAGCGAAGGGGCCAGCAGGCGTGCAGGTCTCTGTGGGAATACGTGGACCGGCTGAGTAAGAGGACACCCATGTTCTACAACTATATGTATGCGCCTGAGGACACAGAGGTGAGCTGGGGCCTGGTCAGGGCAGGCGGCTCCTCCTGCCCAGCTCCTCATACCAGGCCTGCCCCCAGGTTCTGCGGCCCTACAGCAACGTGTCCAACCTGAAGGTGTGGGACTTCTACACTGAGGAGACGCTGGCCGAGGGCCCCCCCTACGACTGGGAGCTGGCCCAGGGCCCCCCCGAGCCCCCAGAGGAGGAGCGGCCTGATGGGGGTGCGCCCCAGAGCAGGCGCCGTGTGGTGTGGCCCTGCTATGACAGCCGCCCCCGAGCCCAGCCCGATGCCATCTCACGCCTGCTGGAGGTGCGCAGAGCTCCCCTGACACCCTGAGGGTGTGTGCGTGTCCATGTGTGTGCACGCGTGTGTCTACATGTGCATATCTCACGCCTGCTGGAGGTGCGTGTAATCCGCCCGACACCGTGAGGGTGTCTGTGTGTCCATGTGTGTGCACGTGTGTGTCTGCATGTGCATATCTCATCTGCTGGAGGTGCATGTAGCCCCCCCAACACCACGAGGGTGTGTGCACGTGTGTCTGCATGTGCACGTCTCACACCTGCTGGAGGTGCATGTAGCCCCCTGACACCGTGACACATGTGCCTGCACGTGCGTATCTCACACCTGCTGGAGGTGCATGTAGCTCCCCCTGACACCATGAGGGTGTGTGCCTGTCCATGTGTGTGCACACATGTGTGTGCACGCATGTGTCTGCATGTGCGTGTGCGTCAGTCCAGTGGCCCTGCCCCTCCCCAACCCTCCGAACTGCCTGCCAGCCTGCCATGACTGTTGCTCCCGTGGCCCCGCCCCACCCCAGCCGGTGCATGTTGGCAGGCAGTGGTGACTGGAGGCTCTAACCTCCCAGTCTCAGGACACGGCTTCTTTGCTCTGGGTGTGTGTGGGGTCAGCCGCGAGGGAGGACAGGGTTTTCCCAGGAACTGTTCCTCCCCTGGCCGGACTGCTGCACGAACTTCCTGGGTGTACCTGGCTGTCGGCCACACAGAGGTCCATGGTGGCTCCAGGCCCAGCCTGCCCCACCCACGCTGATGGGAGCAGTGGGTCTTCTGGGTTCTCTCCGCCCCTTCAAAGAGAGACGTACCTGTGGCTCTGGAAGTTGGGGCTTGACCGTTAGGCCTCTCTTGCCTTCCCTCCGCCATCCTTGGTGGGCATATCTGCTCAGCCTCGACTCAGGATCCAGCAGGGCAGAGACCCCTGGGAGAAGGAAAAAGGCCCCCTGAGCTGAGGGTGGGCCAGAGTTCTCCACAGTGGCCGAGCAATCAGAAGGCTGTGACCTCAGCTCCAGATCACAGAAGGATTTGTACTCCCCTCTCCACCTTAGCTGTGGGTTTTGGGTTATATCTGAGCATCTTAGAGCTGCTGTTTCCTTGTGGGGAAAGTGGGGTGCTGATTCCTGCCTCTCAGGGAGGTGGTGAAGTATAAACAAGTCTTGCTTCTTTCTTCCTTCTGGTTTTTTTTTCCCACTAACAATTGAGTATTTTTTAGTATTCCCTGTTGCCTGCTTTACTTGGCTCTTGAGCTGTACCTGTGCTCTTTCGTGGTTGTCAGGGGCTGTCCCTCCCCTGTGGGAACCACACGGTACACTCCACCACCTCTTTCTGCCCTTCACGCTGTTGTCATCATGCATCTTTCTTTTACTTGTGATATAAACGCACAGCAGGTACATGTTTCAAATAGTCCACTTCAAATAGTCCACTTTGTTTTAAAGAAATTAGGAAACGAGGAAGAAACTTCCCTTATCTGCCATTTCCAGTCTTCTTGCACTCTCAGTGTAGATCTAATCTGGTATCACTTCCCTTCAGCTTGAAGACTTCAAGGTTTCTTGTGGGGCAGGTCCGCCAGTGACAAACCCTCAGCTTTAGTTTACTTGGAAATGTCTTCTTTGTACCTGTATTTTTTAACAGGTGTTTTCTTTGGATACAGCATTCTAGGTTGACAGCTTTTACACTCAGCAGTTCACAGATGTTCTTGTTTTCTGGCTTGCGTTGTTTCTGATTAAAAGTCGGTGCTCATTCTTAACCAGTAAACTGTATAATGTCATCCTTTCCTCCTCTGGCTGCCTTCAGGATGTTTTCTTCATCTTTGGTTTTGGCAGTTTGACCTTCAGGTGGTTTTTCTTTCTGCTCATCCTGCTTGGAAGCTCTTTAGGCTTCTTAGATCTATGGAATGATAGTTTTCTTAAAATTTAGGGACCGGCCCGGTGGTGCAGCAGTTAAGTGCGCACATTCCGCTTCAGCGGCTCAGGGATTGCTGGTTCGGATCCTGGGTGCGGACATGGCACTGCTTGGCACACCATGTTGTGGTAGGCGTCCCACATATAAAGTAGAGGAAGATGGCCACGTATGTTAGCTCAGGGCCAGACTTCCTAAGCGAAAAGAGGAGGATTGGTAGCAGTTAGCTCAGGGCTAATCTCCCTCAGGAAAAAAAAAATACATTTTAGGCCATTATTTCTTTAAAAAAGTTTTTTCTGTACAATCTTTCCCTTCCTTTCCTCTGGGACTTTATTGTCCCCTAGGTCACTGAGGCTCTGCTTGTTTCTTCCTCTAGTCTTTCCTCCCTGCAATTCATTTTGGATGCTTCTGTTACCCTGTCTTCAGGTTCACTGCTCTTTTTATGTTTAACATGCTCTTAAGCCTATCTGATGAATTGTTCATTTTAGGAATTGTATTTTTCAGCTCTAGAATATCCATTTGTTTTTTTATATTTTCTGTAGAGATTCCCCGTCTGCTCAACCATGTCCATCTTTTGTGTGTGTCTGTGTGTGTGAGGAAGATCTTTGCTGAGCTAACATCTGTGCCAATCTTTCTGTTTTCTGTGGGATGCTGCTGCAGCGTGGCTTGATGAGGGTCCACGCCTGGGAACTGAACCCCTGAACCCCAGGCCACCGAAGCAGAGTACGCAAACTTAAGCACTATGCCACTGGGCTGGCCCTCAACCACGTCCATCATTTTCTTTCAATCTTAAACATATTTATAATAACTATTTTGAATTTCTTGTATGTTAATTCTAGTTCCTATTTCATTTCTGGGTCTGTTTCTTTTAACTTTCCCCCTAATATGGCTCTCATTGTCCTGCCTTTTTGCGTGTCTAATAAATTTTTTTGTAAGCTGGACCTTGGTCTGCACTATTGAGGATCAGGATTACGTTGTCTTTCTTTAGAGTCCTGGGTTTTCTTGCAGTTAATGAGCTTGTGGACTGGCTTGATCTTTCAAGGGTCTTTTCTCATCTTTGCTAGGGCAGCTCTCGAGAAGCCTCGACTCTAGGTTAGAGGAGCTCTACTCCACAGACATGGCCTCTTCAGGGTTTCAGCTGAAGGTTTGGTGTCTTCAGTAAGGTGTCTCCACTCTGACTGTTTGGAATTCCCACATCTTCCCATATTGTGTACCCTTCGGAATTTAGACTTAGTTCACAGCTTCTTATTAGCTGCTCTCTGCCAGGCCCTGTGACATCTTGCTTTGCACATGGCAATTTAATTTGGCCAAAGACTCAAGGAGGCTTCTGTGTTATTCCCGCCTCTTATATGCTGCCCTGCAGATCCATGTGTATCACCATCCCTGAGCTTCCCACCTCTGCCTCCTCAGCTCCTCAAGACCCAGTGCTCTGCTTAGACTCCACCTCCCTGCACACTGGCCAGGCCAGACTGTAGGGCTCCCTGGTGTGGCCCCATTTCGGGGTCTCAGTGCTGCACTGCTGGCTGTCTGACACCTGGAAACAACTACTTCCTATTCTTATCCAGTTTCATAGGCACTCATGGCGGGTGGGCTGGTCAGGGACTCTGTCATGGTTGGAAGCAGAAGTCTGCCTACATTTCTGTGTTGAACTCAGCTAGCAGTTTCATTGTTACTCTTTTGCAGTGAGCACGTCTTTTTCTGGCTGGTTTTGGGATTTCCTCTTTGTTTTCAGCAGTTTTCCTGTAGTATCTTGGGGAGGGGGGCAGTGTGTTCAGCTTATCCTGTTTGGGGTTTCTGGTGCTTCTTGATTATACTGTTTGATGCTTCTTGTTATTTTATAATATTTTCAACCATTGTCTCCAAATATTGATCCCACTCACCCCCACCCCGCCTTTCTCTTCTTCAGTACTCAGTTATAGGTGTGTTAGCGTTGTTCATTGTTTCACTTTCTTATATTTTCCATCCTTTTGTCTTTTCATGTTCCAGTCTGGATATTTTCTTCAGAATAATCTTTTAGTTCACTAATTCTCCCCTAGGAGCTGCAGCGGCTGGAGACAGAGCTGGGCCGGCCCCCTGAGCGCTGGAAGGACACGTGGGACCGGGTGAAGGCTGCACAGCGCCTTGAAGGCCGGCCAGATGGACGTGTGAGTGGGGGTGGGTGTGGGGGGTGAGGTGGGCTTGCTGCCTGGAGGAGGCCATCACCTGCCCTGACACAGGGCACTCCCTCCTGCCTCCAGGGTATCCCCAGCTCCCTGCTGGTGTCCAGCGTGCCCCACCACCGCCGCTCGCTGGGTGTGTACCTGCAGGAGGGGCCTGTGGGCTCCACCCTGAGCCTCAGCCTGGACAGTGACCAGAGCAGCAGCTCAACTGCATCTGGCTCCCGCCAGGCAGCCCGCCGCAGCACCAGCACCCTGTACAGCCAGTTCCAGACAGCTGAGAGTGAAAACAGGTGTGACGGGCACCTCCCACTGCAGCGTAGACACGTCTGAGCTAGGAGGGCTCTGGGGTCCTGGGTGGTTCTCAGATAGAGGGGCAGGTACCTTTGGGGGAGCTTCTACTTATTTCCTAGGTGGAAGGATTTGTCAGGGAGGCCACGATGCTAGCCAGAGCATAAGCTGGGGAGAAGTAGGTGGACTTGGAAGGGGTTTGGGATGTAGAACCAGTGACCGCAGCTGGGCTGTGGTGGCTGTGGAGCAGAGGGACGGGGCTGTGGGATACCCCATGAGGGCAGGCAAGGTACCAGGTGAGGCTGAAGCAGGTTGCAGGTGAGGCTGGGGCTTGGCAGGCTGCATCCCACCCTTGGGCCTGGAGAGGTCACGTTGCCCCAGTCACCTCTCCAAACCTGCCTGCTGCATGTTCCTCCTCCTTGTGGAGGGTGGCATCTGCCCTGTGTGTGCAGCTGCTTCCCTGAGACCCTGAGGCTCCTGTATGGCACCCTCCCCAGTGTCTATCATGTGAAGGGTATGGGGGACAGCCCCTGGGCTTCTTTGTGGCCCTCTGGCCAGCCTTGGGTCAGTTTGGGGGTATGGTCTTGCTGCTGGAGCTGGGCAGGCAGGGGGGCAACTGCTGGGGCCTGGGCTTAGCTAGGCCCTCATGGCTTACCTGGCCCCTGGTCCTGCTGCAAATGCAGGTCCTATGAGGGCACCCTGTACAAGAAAGGGGCCTTCATGAAGCCCTGGAAGGCCCGCTGGTTCGTGCTGGACAAGACCAAGCACCAGGTGAGTGGTCACTGGGCAGGGGAATGGGGCACAGGGCTGAGGGGGCCCTGCTGACTTCCTGCCCCCTCAGCTGCGCTACTATGACCACCGCGTGGATACGGAGTGCAAGGGTGTCATCGACCTGGCAGAGGTGGAGGCTGTGGCGCCTGGCACTCCTACTATGGGCGCCCCCAAGACCGTGGATGAGAAGGCCTTCTTTGACGTGAGCTGTGGCAGGAAGTGGGGGTGGGGGGGGGGCGCTCCATGGGGTAGAGCCCTGGAGTCAGCGACCCGCCATCCCCAGGTGAAGACGACGCGTCGTGTTTACAACTTCTGTGCCCAGGACGTGCCGTCGGCCCAGCAGTGGGTGGACCAGATCCAGAGCTGCCTGTCAGACGCCTGAGCCCAGCCTTGCTTGGGCTGCTCTGCGTCCAGTCGTTACAGACCACTAGGGGTGGGCAGGGCCCCCCGGCCATGTTTACAGCCCCCACCCTTGACAGTATTGAGGCCCCGCCCCCAAACTTGTGTGTACAGCCCCCACCCACCCTGCCCACCCCCATCTGCCTGGCCAGCTCTAACTTATTTTGGAGTTATGGTTGAGCACCGGCCGGAAGGCGGCCATGGTACCCTTGCGGTGGGCCTGTAAATAATCCATCCCACCCAGCCCCGTCAGTGTGCTGGCCCCGGCCGGCTGGCCGCAGGCAGCCCGTTCCTAGAACCAGATTCTATAAAGAAAAAATTAACGATGTGCCACATGCCTGTGTCTCCTTGGCCACCCAGAGGGTCCTCTTACTCTGTCCAGTACCCAGGTCTCCCACATGAGGGGCCAGTCCTGGTGCCAGGGGATCTACGGCCCTCGGGGCCACTTCATCAGGCCCTTGATTGGTGCCTGGCTGTCCATCCCCCCCAGGCCTCAGGGATGGTCTTGGGGCTAGCACAGCCCGAAAGGAAGATCCCCCTCCTTGCCCAAGCAGCCCCTGAGCAGAAGGTGGCCACCTCGGGGCACATTGCGAAGAGAAGGCAGTTCCCATAATGAGAGATGGTATTGGTCATTTGTGTGACGCCCCCCCCACCTCAAGAGTCCAGAGAGACAGACTGAGTGGGAGTAGCTAGAGGATGGGGTCAAGACTTGCTGATCTTGTCAGATGACAGTGGATGGGATGGAGTGGGAGGGTCTGGGAGGGAGATCCTGAGGAAGGTGGGCTCCCCAGAGAGCGAGTGGCCTCGAGAACTTGGGAAACGGCTTTACACATGGGAGGTGGGGCATGGGGACCTGACAGCTGCTCAGTTCTGTGAACTTGGTTCCAAACACCTGTCTTCTCCCTTCCCTGGGGCTTGCCTCAAACCCTGACCTCCTTGCCCCAACCCTGGTCTTTGGCTTAAGGGTCATCATTGGGATTTCTTGCTTGTCTCCTTTCCCATTCAAATGCAAGTCTCACCAGGACCAGCACCTCCCATGCAACAATGCCATGCAACAGGTGCCAGCTAGGGGCGGGGGAGACAGTGGGCGGGATGGCAGTGTGGGCTTCACAGAGGCCGAGAGAACATCCCAGAGAGGTCTGGGTTGGTGGCCACTGGATCTGGGTTACAGAGGGGATGGTGGTGTGTGAGACACAAGTGCAGGCATAGGGAGGACCCCCAAGTAACTTCCGGTGGCCTGTGAGGAGAGCACCCAGGTCCTCCCCAGACCATGTGGCTGGCCCTCAGACCAAGGTTCCCAATACCCAGGAAACCCACAAGCCTGGAATCCTGTGCCCACACCATTTCACGTGGGGGCTGAGGGCTATTCTTGAGGGAGAGGTGGTGAGGTGAGATGTCACCAAAGCAGGGGCCAAAGGGCAAGGTCAGTGCAGGACTAGGACCTCTTAAGAGAGATGGAGACACTGCTGGGAGACCCTCCTCCTGGCTGTGAGGAACCAGGACAGACCCCACTGGCGGTGAGGTATTGCCTCATGCTGCCCCTCTGTCCAAGCAAGTGTGAGGACGGGATGGCCTTCTGGGGACAGCAATAGCTCCACATGTTTGACTCGTGAGCTCCCACGCAGAACTTGTTTCATGGAGAGAAACTCAGCGTTCACTCAGGTGTTGACACTTGCTGCTGAGACGTGAGGATGGGCCTGGGGGCAGCAGAAAACCCCCCCCACCACCAGCCAGCTTGGGGTTCCAGGGCCTGCAGCTTAGGAGTACGCCATTTTGTCAGTAATAACACAAATTTTATTGGGAATTGGGTTTCTGGGTGCCCTGTCAGATTATCATAAAAATGGACTCAACATAAAGTAATCCTGCAGACCCCTCCAGGACGATGCGGCCCTGCCCTTCCCAACAGGTGCAGACCCCACCCCACCCAGCACTGTTGCAGGCAGTCTCTGCACCCACTGCACCCACCTCCTGCACGCCCGAGGCCAGCTCCTGCCAGGTGCCCCCACCATACACTGGGGCATGAGGGGCCGGGGCATCCCCACCAGGCGAGGGTCTTGTATTTTTAAGGCAGTCAAATTTTGCAGCCTGGCTCAAGGCCAGCTCCTCGGGCCACTGGGCAGCAAAGACCTTGTCTGGTCCAGCCCAGCTCCAGACCTGCATTTGTCCCCAGAGGAGGGGAGACCCTTCACTGCGGCTGGATACAAAGTGCAAACACGCGGCTCTTCCTGTGTTTGTTAAAAAATCAGTAAAAATGGAGGCTCAGAGCCTGTGACGTCACAGCCCTCAGTCCTCATGGCGTCTTGGGGTTGTGGCCCCCGGCTCCCGCAGGCAGAGGGCACATCTGAGGCCTTATTGCTGTGTGTGGGGCCAGGCAGGAGAGACGAAGCTGGGCCTTCTGACCGGTTCCAACTGCCAGCTTTACCAATGCAGCATTTATTTTAAAATTAACTTAAATTAAATTAAAAAAGACAAATTGCATCACCAGGTAGTTTTCTGATTAAGGGCGCGCCATGGCTGGGCGGCAGCAGCGTCACACGGGGCCATTTAGGGTGGCTCCTGTGGGCGGCGGCATATCCATCTTCCTGCAGGAAGAAGGGTAGGGGGTTGGAGCCGATCAAGGCCCAAGGGTACCCGCAGCTCCCTTCCCCTGGCTGGACCTGCTCACCTGTCCTTTGTCACTGACCCCAGGGTGGCCACTGTGGAGACAGCTGGGCTGGCCGTGGGTGGGGCTGTGGTGGTGATAGCCACCATGGGCCCCGGGGGGATGGCCATAGCCAGCACAGGAGAGACTGCCGGGGTGGGGCCAGCCATAGCTGGGGCAGAGGTCACTTCTGCAGGTGCAGGGGAGGCGAGGTCTGGCAGCATGCTGGCACCACACTCAGCCCTGTGTGGAAGACATGGGCTCTGGTGACCTGGGCCACCCCCAGGGCGGCTCCACACCACAGGCGGCTCAGGGGCCGCACTTGGGCAGGCAGCGTTGCCCACCCCACACCCCCTTAAGTTCCAAACACACCAAAAACAAGCCGCTCATCCACAGGGGCCTCACCTCCTTCCAGGCAGCACATCCTGAGCTGGTCCCGCCATGTCTGGTCTCTTTAAATGGTCCCCACTCCCACCTGGTTCCAGAACATGTTCCCCTTGGTGCTCCCAGCAACCCTTGCTATTTTGTGGACCACGCGGCCCAAGGAACTTCCCTGGACGGCCCCCAGGCCATGTCTTCACAGAATGCTTCCTCCCATGAGGTGCAGGCCCTCTTGCTGCAACCCAGGAGGAGGGGGAACCCACAGCTCCCCACCCAGCCCACACCTGCCCAGCACTTCCTGCCACTCCATGTCAACTCCAACCTTACAAGGACCTCTGGGAGCTGGCGCAGCCTGTGCTGGGGGAGGCCAGGACAGCCTGCATAAGAAACAGACTCCCTGAGAGCCTGGAGATGCAAGCCTGTGTGGGCCAGGGCGGCCCTAACTGGGGCACAGCTGCAGGCTGCCTGGGCCCCAAGGGCTCCAGGCCACAGATTCATGCAGACAGCCCTGTGGAAGCAGACAGCTTGCTTTCAGAATGACATTACCTTCTTTTCAGAGCAGAGTTGGTTTTGAGGGGCTTAGGAAAAGGTGTTAACAATTTCACTGATTCTAAACTTTAGGAAGGAACAAAACCACTCATAAGAAGGAATGAGACAACCCTGCTCCCGCTCGCCCCTCGCCTGGCACATGCTTCGCGTGTATCACAGCGTCAGCATGAACCTGGCCCCTCTCAACAGTCGCTAATGCAGCCTTGGCCCTGCTTCCTCAGGGCTGCGCCCCCGCTGCAGACCCCGAGGGCAAGGGCTGGCAGAGCCAGCCAGGTCCTCTGGGGTCCTGGGGACAAGGGTGCTGTGAGTGAGATGGACACCTACCAACGGGGTGGATTGAGCCCCCAAACCACGAGGGACCCTCCAAGGCCACTGGGGTGGGAGAGCGAGTGGGGCCTTGCAAGGCTCCAGCCTTCCCACCTGTGGGGGAAGGAGAGCCTGAATGAGCCTCCACACAGCAACAGCCACCCCGTGTGCACGATACCACCACTTACCACTCCTATCCCCTCCACATGGGGTCTGGCCGGGGACCTGCCCCCTTGTCCCTTCAAGCCTTGGCTCTAACACCACCTTCTCTCTCACATCCCTGCCAGCCCACCTGCCACTTGTTCCCTATTTTCCACAGCACACCACTCCTCAAGCTGTCCTCCCACCACCACCCAGCTCTGGAGGGGTCATCTGTCCATCAATGGATTCCAAAGGCCTGGACCTTCTTCCTGTGTGTGAGGTGGAACGCATGGGGCTGAGCTTGCAGGGAGGACGTCCCTGGTCAGGCCTCGGATGCCCCAAGTGAAGTCGAGACAACCCCAACCTACTGCCCAAGTGTGTCAGGCATATCTCAAGTGCCTGGTTGAGGTGGGCATGTCTCTGGGACTCGGCACACGCAGGGTGAGATAAAGGCTGCGCCCCCCTCCCCACCATCCCAGGCAACCCCAGATCCTGGGGTGGTGGCTGAGCCTGACCAGAACCCCACAAAGCTGGTTGTTTTCTCCAACAAGCCCAGTAGGTGGGGCGGCTCCATTCCCAAGTCCCTGGGGTGGGACATTCAGGCCCTGTGCTCTGTCTCAATGACCACTCACAAATGAAGAAGCACCCTCCCACCCCCGGCTTCCACTTAGACGAACAAGTGTCCCTCCGGTGAGAGCCGGCCTCCGTGGAGTCACAGGGCCACCATGGCAGCAGGGTTGGCCTGCTCCAGGGCAAGCAGAGTGCTGGAGACAGCCAGACCTCCATGTGCACCTGGGGCCCTGCGCCCACCCTGGCCTGCACACCTGGGGGCTGATGTGGGCAGTGGGGAGGCCTCCCGGCCAGGAACAATGCTAACAGCCTCCAAGGCACCAACCACCTTCTGCTCATCCTTGTCGCTGTTGGAGGCCACCAGGGAGGCCTTGCTGGCAACACACACATTCCAGGCACATGGGGAGGCTGGGCCAACTGTAAGACAAGGAGCCAGTGATGTCTGGTGAGGATAGATGGGGCCACAGGCATGGCTCAGGGCCCCCAAACCTGCATGGAGCATGCGACAGCTTCAGCCTGCAAAACTGGGACAGAACCTGTCCCACATCCTGCCTGCCACGTGCATGTGATCTGCACATTCAGAAGAAGCATAAAAAGGGACAGTCCCCATCAAAGGGAGGCCCCCTACTCAGCCTCGGGGCTTCTAAGTCCCACCCCACATGGCCCTGAGGGAGTCTGGGGGCTTCAAAGGGCCAAGGGCTCTGAACAGGCCCCAGAACGGCCACTGAGATGGCACAATACACGTGTGTGATCTGTGCTGAGAACATGGCAGGGCTTGGGGAGACTGGCCCAGAGCGGGAAGGCCCTCACTCCCTGGCAGCACAGACCTGTGTGGGCCAGTCAGACCTGAGCTCTGAGGGCAGCCTGATGACCTTGTTGCCTATGCTTGGGGCTGAAGGGCCCCCCTCTGCACATGGCTGCTCCAGTCCCCTAAGCATGACGGAAACCCCAATATCACCAGGGAGACAGGCAGCCCCCAAGGCCTTAGCCATCTCTTCCTGTCCCTGCCGTGGAGCCATTCCTACTCACCAGTTCTCTCTCGGCCCTGGTTCGGGCCACCCTGGGCATCGCCACGGCCCCTGTCCACTGGGGAGCTGCATCTGGGCCCCGACTCGGAGCTGCAGATGAGGCTGAGTCTGAGCCTGCACTGGGGAGATGCCACCCCAGAAGACAGAGGGGGTTGCCTCCCGGCCCGCCCAGCCTCACCAGCAGAAAGGCTGGAAGTCAGTGAACTTGGCCCAGCCTTTTTCTTCCAGAGCTGAGGCGCTGGGGGTGCTGGCTGCCCACACACTGGAACCCACGTCCATTGCCACTCCTGGAGCTGGCGTCGTTGAGCTCACTGGCTCATCGAACATTGTCCACGTGGCACCTGCCAGGGGGAGATGCACTGGTCCAGGCCCCCTGACCAGCAGGTTGGCCCCACCCACCCTGAGAGCCCTGTGGCCCAGATAGGGCCAGGCGTGGAGGCCCCACAAGAAGTGCCTTCACACCAGGGTGTGCTTTCACCGACAGAACTAGTAGACACCAGCCACCAGCCATGACGATGTGGCTGAGAGTAACTGCAACAGGGGCACAGGGACCACCAAGCGCTGAGCCAAAGCACCTGCCACCAACCCCATGTCATTGTAGTCACGGGCACAGGAAAGCCACCACCTTCAGAAACGTCTGCTTGAAAGTGCGTGCAGACGGGGTCAACGGGAGACCGGCCCATGGCAGCCCCGCCATGCATGGGCCAGTGCACTAAATCCTCTGTCACCCCAAGTGTCCCCACCCAAGTCTCCTGCCCAGCCCTGACCACAAGCCCCTAGTGTCTACCTTCTGGGTCACCCTCCATGCGGGGACCTTCCTTCTGGGGAGTGGCCGGAGGGGTGCCTGCCCGAGCCGCATCCCCATCTGCTTCCGAGCCCTCCTTCCCATCCTGGCCTCCAGGCTCCAGGCTGTTCTTTGAGCAGCTCTCTGAGGTATGAGGGCCCCCAAATCTAGGGGGAGATGTATGGTCAGAGCAGCAGGCCCCCAGAGAGTCCTTTCCTGCATGCCCAGGGCATCAGAGCTGGGGCGGGACTGGGGTATACACACAGTGTCCCAGGGCCTCTCTGTTCCTCAGGGAGGCTTGGGGAAAATGGGTGGGCCCCATACCGGGCTCTGGCTGTCACTCGGGTGGTACAGTGTGTCTCCTTATCCTCCCAGATGTCATCATCCTCATCATCATCAAAGGGCTGGATGTGGTCACTGCAGCAGGCCTCAAACAGAGCTGCACTGGGCTGAGAGAGAAAGAGTGCCCACGTGGCCCCACCTAGCTCCCAGAGGGGCTTGGACAGACACAGGGTTTGCAGGATGGGGCCTGCCCAGCTTGGGGAGGCAGGGCTCCCACGGAGCAGCCTCTCCTACCCCTGCTGCCACCCACCACTATGTCCCCTTGTCCATCTCCAACAAGCCCCAAGCAGAGGGACTCACGCTGTCCTCGTCAGCGTCGATGCTGAAGTTGATCTCTGCGATCCTGTCAAAGGGGGCACTGCAAAAGAATGGAGACGCTCAGGATCTCGCTGCCAGGGCTGCCCTGGGCTTGTCTTGCAGACCTCAGCCGGCAACGTGCCAGGTGCTTTCGCTTGTACCCTGGAGGGACACCAGGCGGAGCTGCACCGCATGGGGGACACAGTGTTTCACAACGTGCCGAGGGGAGCCAGGCTGAGTGCCCCAGAGAGGGAAGGGGGAGGTGACGCCACATGGAACCCTGAGGGAGTCTGCCACCCAGGGTAGGCAGGGACCAGGGCTAGAGAGGCAAAGGCAGAGCCCGAGACCAGGACTCCATGGCCACATCCAGGAATGTGGATGTTACTCCCAGGCAGCGGGTGTGATGTAATGTGGGTATATAGCAGGTGGGCCTGGGACAGAGCTCTCCACACCTGCCCCTTGTCACGCTCACTTGCTTTCTTTCCATCTTTGGATAGAGCAGCCTGGAGGTGGCTCCTGCCCTGGCCCTCTCTGTGTCCCTGGTCTGCATAGGTGACAACCTGCCTTCCCTAAGGGTGTCTCAGGGGCCATAGGGGCCACGCTTGGCTGAGCCCCTCTCACAGCAGCTCTGCATGGTGGGACACACTTGGCTTTCAGCTGAGGAAATGGCATGAAGGCCTTGAGGGCCAGGCAGGACCAAACAGCAGGCCTGGGACCTGGGACTGTGAGCAGAGCCTAGCTCCTTCCTAAGCAACTGAAGATAGGGGAGTGGGAGGGTAGAGGCTCAAATTGGGGCTGGGATGCATGAGGGCGGTGGTGCTGAGTGACATAGGATGCCCACTGGAGCAGGGTTGGCGGGGTGGACAGCCAGGCCGTGGCAAAGATGGCCACAGCCCCTGGCATGTCCTGGTGGGCTCACTTGACACTGTCGTCTTGGTCTGCAAATTCCTCGTCATTAAAGCCAAACTGATCCACGAAGGTGGCCGTCATCTGCTGGACCTGGTACTCCGAGAAAGCCTGGGAGAGATGGGCATCTCAGGGCAGGCCTCAGACCTGAGCTGCTCTTAGAAAAATCTTGCTTGTGCTTCAGGAGCTTCTCCCAGATCCTGACCACTCAGGGCACCGGTCACATGTGGTCACATCTAGACAGCCTTATTTAACTTTAAATTTTTCCACCATGTCCCCAAGAGTCTCATCAATATGAAGTGGCTCTGGGGGCCTCCCCTAGTGAAAGGGTGAGTGGAGGCTGCACCCTCGTCCCCCTCCCTGCACAGGCCGTGTGGGGATGAGCACCTCTCCCTTTGGCTACTTCCCATGGCAGGCTGGTGAGACGCCATCAGGAAGATCTAGAGGCCTCGGCGTGGCCAAGGCCGTGGGGAAGGGCCTGGCCGAGGGTGCGCAGGGCCCGGCCACACGCACCTGCTGCAGGGACAGCTCGTTAGGGAAAACGCCCTCCATGTCCTCATCCTCACTCGAGGGGTGAAGGTGGTGGGTGCTTACCTGAAACAGCCAGAGCGGGTGGGCATAAGCCCTGCACCCCAGGGCTGGTGCCTAACCTGCCCCTCCCTCAGTGCAGGGGAACACTGGGTCTCAGGCACAAGGAGCCCTCTGAGAACACACTAGGGCTCCTGATGTGACAGGGAAGGGACCGAGGGGCCAACACCAGCTCTGCTCAGAGGGCCTCGGGAGCCCTCACTCTCAGCCAGGCTGGGGACTGCGGCAGGAGGGGTCTGTGTCCAGACACCGAGTAGAGGCTCTACCGCTCACTCCTGGGCCACACGGGCCCACACATGCACAATCAGCAGAAAGGAGCATGCCCCCCAGGCATGGCGCTGCCTCTGTGGCTGCAGTGTCAGCCGGCGTCACGCGGCACGAGGAGCCGGGCCCCTCACCAGGTCCACGGCGTTCCTGCGGTTCGTCTCCCTCAGCGTCTCCTCCACGAAGCTCTCCCAGCGCCCACGGCAATCCGCAGGAAGCCCTACAAGGGAACGTCACCTGGTGAAGACTGGGGACAGAGCCGGCAGCTGCACCCTAGTCCTGCAAGGGTGTGGGAGGGCCCCAAGGTGACGTCTCAGGGCTGCTAGAAGGGAAGAAGGCTAAGGCAGTTGGGGGTCAAGAGGATACATGAGGACTGAGCCTGACCTCAGCAGGTGGCAGAGCCCTGAGCGTACCTGGCACACAAGCCAACCCCAGGAGCTCCCAGACACAAAGAACACACAGAGCAAGGTTGCCATGGAAAAGCAACTCACAGGCCCACCTCAGCACAACCCACAAGCCTATGTGTGTCTATTTTTCTGAGGAGGCCAGAGACAGAGAAAGATTCATGGTCCAGAAACAGATCATGGCAAAGAGCTTCCTGCTTGCTCCTCACCCCCAACCTGGGCTCCCATCTACTCTGGTCTGCCCTTGTTTTGTGGACGCACCTCCCTGGGCCCGCACGCCCTCGTCACAGGTGCCAATAGACCAGTGGGCCTGACCCCAGTCCAGAGACCACTGAGAACACCCCTTCCTTCCGTCCTGGGAGGCCACCTGGAGTTTCCTCGGCTCACACCTGCCCCTGTGACCATGCCTGAGATCACCCAAGGGGGCAACCAGGAGGCCAGTCCAGTAAGGCCACAGGTCTATGCCTGCCACAGCCACACCTGCTGCATGACTGACTTGCCCGTCTGTGGTGCAGCTTCCTCAGCTGCACAACGAGGACAAACCCCAGCACCTGCCCTAGGCCTGCTCCAGGCTCATAACACCCATGGCCTCCAGATGGAACCCTAGCCCACCCCGGCAGCAGTGCGACTGTCTTCTCACACACCCTGTGGGGGCCTGCTACATGGCACTCACTCCTTCGTGCAAACACCATTCACTGAGCACAATCATCCATCAGAACCCTTGGCCAGCCCTGTCTTCAGGCCCCCACACAGGGCTGGGGAGAGACTGTCCTGGTTGTGAAGCTGGTATGACAACCACCCCTCCTCCCCGGCCCTCGGGGTCCTGGCCTCTGTGGGTGGTTGCCTTCCATCACCTCAGGCCCTCCTCCACTTAACCGTGAGCACTCTACCTCCTGGCCATCTCTGAGTCCACCTGCCTGTCTCCCCCGAGCTCCTGTGCCTCTTGGCACCCTGGCACACCCTGCTCAGGCTGGCCTAGGCATCGTTCCCCCCAGTGATGCCACACGGGCCCTCTGAGCTGCCTGCCTTCCCCCGTCTGAAGTGAGACCCCCTTGGGTCCCCCTTAGCTCAGCCTAGGAAGCCAGATGCCCAGGAGCTGCACACTGTGTGCCCAGGACAGTAGAGGGCCGGGAAGGGGCATGGGAGACAGGCCCTCAGCTTGGGGGGTCGGGGCAGCAGCCCTGGAGCACCATGCAGAAGGCAGGCTGAGGGCAGAAGAGAGGCCCAACTAGGAGAAGGCTGTGTCTGGCTGGGCCCTACACCTGCTCTCAGGGAACAGAAGCCCCTCCCCTGCTCCCCAGACTTCTGCCAGGAAGGTCCCCAAAGCCACCTGAGTTGAGAGCAAAGCTAGGCTGTGGAGCAGGAGTGTGGGCATTGGGCAGGACTGGGGGTGAACCTGGCAATGCTTGTGCTTCTGAACGCCGGCCTGGGAGGTCTGAACTGCCCAACAGGCACCTGACAGGGTCTCTGGCAAAGGAGACTGCCCAACAGAGCTGCCGTCTGGGTGAGACTCAGGCCTACCCCAAGAGGAGATCCCATGAGGTGAGCTGACGGTCCTGGTACCAGTGCAGTTATCACCTGCTGAGGGACCGGAGAGCAGGGGGCAGAGGGCAGGAAGCAGGGGGCCGGGGAAGCCTCAGGCTGCGACACCCAGAACAGGGCTCCCGCTACCAGGAAGGTGACGAGGGCAGGAAAGGCTCACCTCGGATGACCTCGCTGATGTGCGTCTGCATGGGGCCCCTCTCCAGGTTCTGCACCACGGCGTTGGCGATCCGGGTGAGGTGGCCCATGTTTCCACGCCTCATGCCACCTGCTGCCCTGAAAGTGACGGCAGTATCAGGGTGGCTGCCCGGCTTTTCTTCACTGTGTGTCTACCCGGGCCCCAGGCCCTGCCACCCACAGCCATCCAACTGTGGCTTCCTCTCCACAGGCCCTCCACCCCCTCAGGCGAATCCCTCCTCACAGCCTTGTCTGCAGGACACGTTTCTAGAGACTCCAAGCTCACTCTCAAGAAATACTCATGAGGCAGACACTGCTCCTACCCCCACTTTACAGATGAAAAAACTGAGGCAGCCGTGGGGCAAGAGCTGAGCCCAGCACTGTGGGCCACACAGCTCACGTTCCCCACGTTGCACTGTGCAACCCTCCACGCCAGTGGGGCCTGCTCAGCCTCTGCCTGCGCTGCAGGCCTGGTCCAGAGCTGCACCACTCGACACGTACTCAGACACCTCTGGCTGTCCCTACTCCCAGAGCCCCTCCCAGCCCCACCTAGAGCCGAGTGACTGACCCAAGGGAACACCCGGTGAAGCAGAAGACATAGATTAAAATAAAAATGCATCCCTTCTACAAGTGCTGACCTAGTGTGCCCCAAGTTCTTGGGAAGATCAAAAATAGACACGGGGCCCAGAACTGGGCAGGGCCAGAGCGGGGCTGCCACCCAGTGGGCAAAACAGCAGGAAGACAGTGGATGGAGGGCTCTCTAGCTCTGCATGCGGCCTCCCCTCACGGAGCTCTATGCTTGGAAGTGCACATCCTGGCTTCTCTCCACCTGTATGTCCCATGCTGCCACGAACACGTGGCTCTGCTTAACCTCTCATCCGTCACACACACGACACCACAGAAAAGCAACTCTTAAAGCCCAAGTTGGTAGGAAGAGCCTCAGATGTAGAATGTTTCCCTGTCCAGAGACGCAGCATTTGATCACAGAGCACACAGCTTGCTCTCCACCTTGTTCTCTCTCCTAAGAGCCTGAAATGACCCCAGAAGAGCGACCAAAGGCGAGCTCTCCAGTCAGGGAGCCCGGCCTGACAGGGGAAGGGGTCAGGAGAGAGCCTGGCGGGACCAGCCCAAAGATGAGGCTGGGATGAGAGTAGGAGGCCTTGAGCAGCTGTCCAGGGTGCAGGAGGGCTGGGCTGAGGCTGGCTAGGGCCAAGTGTCCAGGCTCACAGGCCTGCCCACAGCCCACTGTGGGTCTTAACCTCAGTGACAGTGGTGGTCCTCCCCTGACCAAGCCACACATGCGCAGAACGTACAAGAGCAGGCTCAGCACAGGGCCTCACTGGCTACCACAAGGATCAGGCTCAGGAGAAGGACGGATGGCTCCATCCTGTACAGTGTACTGTATATTCCAGAGCAGACACAAATTGGTGGGTTCAGTAAGAACAGGACGTGAGGGATGAAGCAGCTGAGGTCAGAAAGCAGCACTCGGCAGGGCAGAGCAAGGGTGGGGCTGCCCACACTGGACCCTGCAGGCCACACCAGGGACCTAGATGGTCCAGACTTTCAGGCAGGGGTGACAGCATCTGTGTGTTTCAGAAAGATCCCAGCTGTTCACATGACAAGAGGCCCGGTGGGGAGGGAAAGCAGCAGGAAGTGGCCTGGACACTCCTTCAAGGGTCTGAAGGTTTAGTAAGAGAAGTAGCTGGTGGCTGGGAAGGGGAGATGGGAGGATTTGGGATGCGTTATAGGCTTAGGATTGGGGTCTCTGCTGATGGATGGGTGAGGGAAGAGGAGGGTGAGAGGGCCCAGGGAACCAGGGGCTAGTGCAAGGCAGCAGCGAGGAATAGGACCAGGACCGAGGCTGCTCTGACCACGGCCGAGGCCCCACATCACTCTGCCCATCTCTCCTGGTCGACTCCTTGTGCCCTGGCCTTCCCCAGGCAGCACTTATAGCTGATTCCCCAGCAGCAGGACCCTCTTCTTGAACCCTTCCCTGGCCGCCTGGGGCCCACACCAAGCCCTCAGGTGGACCCCCTTGCAGCACGCTGGTGGCTCTTACTGTGTGTGGTCATTGGCTTCCCAGGCCTCCAGGATCCTCTGGACTAGGCAGCACTTCTGGAACAGCTGGGGGACAGGCAGCACTGGTCAGGGTCTGTAAGGCTGCACACTCCCCTCCATCCACCCCTGGACTGAGTGGACTTAGTAGGCAGTGAGCAGGCACATCAGCACCAAGTTCTCTGTGGGTGGTGACACCTTTACAGCCCAGTCCTGAGGTTCCCACCAAACACCAGGACAGGCATTGCCCAGGCCCCAATAGGTGCATGCTGCTGAGAGCCCGCCCAGTGAAGACCAGGGTCACACAAGACATTTCTGTTCTGCTCGGCCTCCTCCTGTCTCTCCATCACCTCCTCCTCTACCTCTGGCCACTCTCCCACCTATTCTATCCAGAAGAAAGGACGGGGGCCCGAGTGCTTTCTCTCACCTTGAGGTCCTGACAGGCTGTCTCCTGTCCCTGCCATGTTTTTTCTGAGCCCCAACTCGTACATCTATCCCACACGTGGCCTCACTATGTGGATGGGGACCCTGCTGGCTGCACAGCCCCTGCACGCTCCCACCCGTGTGGCTCTCATCATTGAAACTGCCTGTCCCTTAGTGTTTACCCTTGGGCTGTGATCCAGCTCAAGCCTGCACACCACAGGTAAAAAGGACACTTGTCAAAGGCAGGCAGGAGTGAGGTCTCTGACCAGACACCTAGGGGCCCCCTTTCCAAGCCTCTGTTCCTGTTGTCCGAGTCTCGTAGCCAGCCGAGGGGCAGGGCCGTCCCCTCACAGCCCTGGCCTTCTCGGGGAAGCGTTCACAGGTAGGCTCCTCAGCACAGGGAGGGGGTTCTGTGCTGCTTCTTCCTGCTCCCGGCACCCAAGACCTTGCTTCCCTCCTCTCTTCTTCAGCAGACACTTACTAAGGCCTACTCTCTCCTAGGCACAACACTAGCTGTTTTGGAGAGAGAACAAGACCCAGTCTCGGACACCTGGTGTGTGCCTGCTCACAGCCCAGGGAAGAGCCATGTGAGCGCACAGCTGGGTAGTGGTCTCACTGGTGGGCTTTGTGTGAAGTGCTCACGGACAACTAGGAAAGTGCCAGGTAAAGAAGAAAGAGAAGAGTGTGCATGGAGGATTCATGCCCACAGTTTCAAAAAGTACAGAATCCCAGACAGTTTCCCCATGAAATGCATTCTCTCTCTTTTTTCTTGCATACTCCCGTCACGGCCTCATCCTGAGAACAGCAAACCCAACATGGCAGAATGCCTGGAAGGGGGAAGCTCCAGGGCAGCATCCAGCTGGCTCCCTCCCGCTTCTGGTGGGCTACAGCCCACAATGGGCCAGATCAACGTGGTGCAAACGTTCCTCCCACGCCCTCACTGTACTAGCACTATGGCCCTGGCAAATGTGGACACTTTCTTTGTGATTTCCTATCTCATGGATAAAAGGAGGGCAGCAAACCCATGTCACAGGAGAGTCAGAGTAGAAAAAGCACAAGGGCAGGGCAGGGAAGGCCACAGATGGCTTGCTTCAACATTAACATCCACACAGGCAAGGCAGGGCTCAGCACACAGGACACACAGCGACACACAGAGCCCGCAGCGACACACGGGACATGCAGCAATATGGAGGACACTGGCTGAACTTACATGGGTCACCATTGTGTTCTCGGGGTGGCCGGCGGCAGGCTGGGGGGCCTCTGAGTCCCTGTTCCCAGGCAGAGGCTCAACCCTGCTCTGGGGTCCACTGGCTTCTGCCCTGTCCTCCTGGGCAGTATGGGAGAGAATAGCGGCTATGCATAGCTCCACTTGGAAGTGCAGAAAGTTATTCCAGGTATACTTAAAAAACAGGTCCTGGGTAGACAGATGAAAGAGGAAGGTCCTCAGACTGGTCTTCTGATGACGGGCCCACAAGAGCTAGGGGCTCACTGGTGTCCTAGCACACCATTCCCACAGGCTGTCTCCTGGCTGTCTGATGGCCAGGCAGATGCTGAGGGCATTTCCTCAGGATCGTCTCTCTGTTAGGAACCTTTGCAAAGAGCCGCCTGCCCTTCCCTCTCCAGTCTGCTGCTCTGTTTCTGTCTCATTAATCTCTGCTCTTATCTGAATACTTCCTGTCTGTTTATCCCTTTGTCCTTAGATGCTTTAACTCATTAATTTTTAGCCTTCCTTCTTTTCCAGTGTGTTTTTAAAAGGCTGTACATTTCCTTGTAAAATCCACTTTAGTTAAATTCTACACATCTTGTAGTATTTCTGTTATTCTTCCTTTATGATTTTGTCTTTGACCCATGAGTTACTGGAATCTGTGTGTTAAATTCTCAAATACCTAGCGACTCTATGGAGGAGGGAACATGAAATCAAGAAGTGCACACTCCCCAAGGGAACCTGGAGGAGCCCAAACCTAAGCTGCACAGGCTGAAGCCCAGAGGAGGCCAAATACAGACAGCTGCACCCCTCTCCCACAGCCTCTTCCAGACTGGGGCGGGGGACACAGCAGCCTGGCCCTGAATCTCTGACCCCTTAAGCCAGTAGGGAGGCACTAGTAGGGTAGGGTGACACAGGCATGCCTATCTGCGCCCCCATGGCCACCTCACACAAAGCAGCCTGTGTACCAGGCCCTCAGCTACCTGCACAGGAGGAGGAAGGTGTGTGCAGGGTGGAAAGATGGGGCAGGGGGATGGGGTATAGACTCCACCTTGGGATAAGAGTTTGGGCCCCTCCTTCACATCAGGGAGTTGGGGATTTGGATAAAGGCAGGAAGTCCACCTGACTGACACAGTTCTCCTACACAGAAACAGTCTTGAATCCTGGCTTCACCTTCGCTGCCTGTGTGACCTTGAGCGACCTTGGAGGTGGCTTCACTGTGTTACCTTATCATCAACACAGAGTCACATCCACCTCCCAATAAAGAAAAGCCCAGACCAGACAACTTGACTGGTGAATTCTCCCAAACATTTAAAAACGAACTGACAATACCAATCTGTCTCAAATTCTTCCAAAACTTTGAATAAGAAGGAACACTTCCTGATTCTATGAGGCCAGTATTACCCTGATACCAAAGCCAGACAAAGATATCAAAAGAAAACTATGGACCAACATCCCTTATTAACACACATGAAAAATCTTCAACAAAATACTAACAAACCAAATTCAGCAGTGTATTAAAAAGATTGTACACGGTGACCAAGTGGAATCTATTCCTGGAATGCAAAGATGGTTCAACATACAAAAATCAATCGATGTATTACACTGTATTAAAAGAATGGAGGACAAAAATGACATAATCATCTCAAGTGATATTGAAATAGCATTTGACAAAATTCAACACATTTTCTTGATAAAAACATTAACAGACTTAAGAACAGAAGGAAACTTCCTCAACATGATAAAAGGCACCTATGACAAACCCACAGCTGACATCATACTCAGTAGTGAAAGACTGAAAGCTTTTCCTCTAAGATCAGGAACAAGGCAAGGATGCCTGCTTTTACCTCTTCTTTTTTGTTTTGTTTTCTTTTTAGGAAGATTAGCCCTGAACTAACATTTGCTGCCAATCCTCCTCTTTTTGCTGAGGAAGGCTGGCCCTGAGCTAACATCCATGCCCATCTTCCTCTACTTTACACGCAGGACGCCTACCACAGCATGGCCTGACACACAGTGCCATGTCTGCACCTGGGATCCAAACTGGTGAACCCCAGGCTGCTGAAGCAGAGCGTGTGCACTTAACCACTGTGCCACCAGGCTGGCCCCTCACCACTTCTATCCAACACAGTACTGGACGTTCTAGCCAGAGCAAATAAACAAGAAAAAGAAATAAAAGGCATCCAAACTGGAAAGAAAGAAGTAATATTATCTCTTTTCACAGATGACACTACCTTACATGTAGAAAATTCTACAGATTCCACATAAACTATCAGAGCTAATAAATAAATTCAGGGAAGTTTCAGCATACAAAATCAAGACATAAAAATCAGTTGCATTTCTATACACTAACAATGAACAATTCAAAGAAAAAAATTAAGAAAATAATTCCATTTACAACACCATCCAAAAGAATAAAACACTCAGGAATAAATTAAACCTAGGAGGTAAAAGACCTCTACCCTGAAAAGCATACAACACTGCTGAAAGGAATTAAAGACCTAAATAAATGGAAAGACATCTGTTTTAATGGATTGGAAGACTTAATTTTGTTAAGATGACAATGCTACCGAAGGCAATCTACAGAGTCAATACAATCTCTATCAAAATCTCAATGGCATTTTTTTGTACATATAGAAAAACCCATCCTAAAGTTCATATGGAATCTCAGAGATCCCCCAAACCCAAAACAGTCTTGAAAAAGAAGAACAAAGTTGGAAGACTCACACTTTCTGATTTCAAAACTTGCTACAAAGCTTCAGTAATCAAAACAGTGTGGCAGGGGCCGGCCCTGTGGCCGAGTGCTTAAGTTTGCACGTTCTGCTTCAGCTGCTCAGGGTTTCGCCAGTTCGGATCCTGGGCACGGACATGGCACCACTCATCAGGCCATGTTGAGGTGGCATCCCACATGCCACAACTAGAAGGACCCACAACTAAAATATACAACTATGTACGGGGGGATTTGGGGAGAAAAAAACAGAAACAAAAAACAGCGTGTCACTAGCATGAGGACAGACATACAGATCAGTGGAACAGAAGAGAGTCCAGAAATAAATTCTCACATATATGGTCAACTGATTTTCAAGAAGTGGCCAAGACCATTCAACGCGGAAAGGACAGTCTTTTCAACAAACGGTGCTGGGAAAACTGGATATGCACATGCAAAAGAAGGAAGGTGGACTCTCACCTTATACTACACATAAAATTTAACTCAAAATGGATCAAAGACCTATTAGAGCAAAACCTATAAAAGTCTTAGAAGAAAATGGTGAAAGCTTCATGACAGTGGATTTGGCAATGATTTCTTGGATATGACACCAAAAGCACAAGCAATATAAGAAAAAAAGATAAACTGGACTTTATCAAAATTAAACACTGTGTGTGTCAAAGGACACCATCAAGAGAATGAAAAGATAACCCACAGAATGGGAGAGAATATTTGCAAATTATATATCTGATAAGGGTTTAATATTCAGAATATATAAAGAGCTCCCACAACACAACAACAAAAAAAGCAACCTAATTCAAAACTGGGCAAAGAACTTGAATAGACATTTTTCCAAAGAAGATATACAAATGGCCAACAAAAGCACATGAAAAAGTGCTCAATATTCCTAGTCATTAAGGAACTGCAAATCAAAACCAACATGAGATATTACTTCACAACCATTAGGATGGCTATTATCAAAAAAGCAGAAAACAAGTGTTGTTGAGGATGTGGAGAAATTGGAACCCTCATACATTGCTGGTGGGAATGTACAATGGCGTACCCACTGAGGAAAACAGTTTGTTGGTTCCTCAAAAAGTTGAACCTAGAATTACTATATGACCCACCAATTCAACTTCTAGGTATACACTCAAAAGAAGTGAAAGTAGGGACTCAAACAGATATAACCATGTTTATAGCAGTATTATTCAAAATAGCCAAAGGTGGAAGCAACCCAAGTGTCTCTCAACCAATGAACAGATAAAATGTGGTCTATTCATACAATTGGATATTATCCAGCCTTAAAAAAGGAAGGAGATTCTGGCACAAGCTGCAACATTGATAAACCTTGAGGATATTATGCAAAGTGAAATAAGCCAGTCACAAAAGGCTAAATACTGTATGATTCCACTTCTACGATGCACTTAGAGGAGTCAAACTCATAGAGACATAAAGTAGAATAGTGGGTGCCAGGGACTAGGGGAGGGGAAGGGGGATTGACAGCTTAAAGGTCAGAGTTTCTGTTTGGGAAGATGAAAAAACTGTGGAAATAGTGGTAATGGTTATCCAACACTGTGAATGTAATTAATGTCACTGAATTGCTCACTTAAAAATTATTAAAATGGTAAATTGTGTGATATATATTTTACCACAATAAAATAAAAGTAAAAAGGGGGGGAGGGGAGAGAGAGAAAATATTTTTTTGAAGAGAGGAAAAGGAAAGGTCTCATAATTGCCCCCGATCCATATCTGGGATTTTACAGTCACAGTAGTGCCCAACTGACTTCTAAATGCTGGAAGAACTTCGCAGGCAGTTGGTACCTCAGGTCCAGTTCCAAGGCAGACTCCTTCCGGGATTAAGATGTAAATTTCAAGAAATTTCAGCTTCCTGGGAGCAGAGGCCCAAGGACAAGGCCCAAGAGAAGCATGGGGACTGCATCTGCCCGTGGTGCACACTTATGGCAATGCTCCCTTCCCAGCAGCACACTCCTTCCACAGCAGAGCCTGCTGTCCACAGCCAGTGTTGCTCTGCTGTCACTCAGACTCCAGACACCCAGGATGGCTGAAGGCAACTGGGTGGCAGAAGCTGAATGGAGGGGCATTTCCCACTGGCTTTGACAAAAACTGCTAGGTGACCTTCCACTGTGGGACACCAGGAACTGCTCTTTTAGGGCATTTTATGGTGAAGAGCTACAATGAAAGTTCTATCTTAGGTCAGAAACCAGAAAGAAGATGGATCATACTACCCCATTCCCTCAAAGAGGATTAGAAATCTGCCCTCTGCTTTCAGGGAAATTCTCTGTGAGCCTGCACCGATGGGAGTCCACTGTCATTCAAGCCTGGGGTGGGTCCAGGAAATGGCTTCTCTGCCCAGACTGTGCCTGTTCTAGGACTAAACCAGAGCCTCCCCTTGGGCAGACCCTCATCCAGGTGCTGAGGGCCAGCTGCCTGCCCTTGATGGACCCTGTCCTGCTGCACCTACCCTGGACCATGCAAGAGACGTGGACAAACAGGCAGGGCTGGCAGTGGTGCCCACTCACCAGCAGCAAGCCCATGGTGTTGAGTCGGCAGAGCTCCTGGTTGATGCTGGGGGTGTTGGTGTGCAGCAGTGCAGCCATAAGGCGGGCACCATGCAGACGGGCATTCCCCAGGGGCTCCTCCAGCACACCGATGGTGGTCAGGATTGCTTTTTTCTGCAAACACAGAAGCCCTGCCCAGTTGGAGCCTTGCTATCAGCGTGGCCACTCCTGGCTTCTCTTAGCTCAGGTGCCAACTGCTTAAAGGGCCAGGGCTGCTACTCCATGACATGGCCCAGCCTGGGGAGAGTAGGGGTGTGTGTGTGGGGGGTTCCTCTAGGCCACACTGCCTGCAAGAGGAAATGAGGAATCACTGGGGTTAAGAACCTCACTGCTCCCCTCAGGGCCTCCCCAAAGAGTGAGTGAGGGTAGTCTGCTGCTCCCAGAAGCCCAGGGCATTCTGGTCTCAGCCTGCCAGCCCAAGAGATGTGTCCAAGATGGGGTTAGCTCTGTCTAGGGACACAGTCTTGGGACATGGAGCTAACAGACACCCCATGAACACTCTCGGAGACTGATGACAAAGTCAGCCTTGTCAGACTGGATGCGGGTATTTTCTGATCCTGCCCATGTAGCAGAACACATCTACTTTTTCATTAATGAATTGTTTCAGAATCCCTGCCTTCATGAAGCTTACTTTCTAGTGGGGGACGCAGACATTAAGCAAGTTGATAAAGAGATAGTACAGCAGATCATGGTGGGTGCTAAGGAGAAGCACCAAGGATAGGGGAAGAGGCTGTGACTGGGGAGAGGGGCTCACAGGGGGTGGGAGGGCAGCCCTGGGTGGCAACTGAGGGACTGAAGGTGCTGAGGGAGTGAGCCCAACTCAATGCGAGCCAAGCACTGCTCAGAGCTTCTGAAGTGAGCAAAGGGCCTCCTCTGGGACCCCGTGACCCTTGGCTGGGTGCCCCCAACTCAAAGGCAGGTCTACAGTGAACTCTCGGGCTCTCAGGAGACACCCTATTTCAAAACACAGGAGTCACCTGGGGGACTGCAAACTGTCCAACTCCCAGGCCTCACCTAAGAGCAGAGATGGCCAGTCAGTAGACCGGGGTCTGAAAACACGCCTCTGGCATCTGCCTGGTGGTTCTCAAGTCAGGGTCTGGGAACAGCAGTGTTTGAATGTATTCACTCATCCTAGATACACTGTGGGGTCCTCTGCTTGCAAATCATGCTAGCCTACAGTCTCCAAAGTCACCCAACAGCTATTTAAGGTCATCTACCTTTGGAGGGCTGAGCAGAAGCTGGTGGAAGTCCTTCAGCCGTGGCTCAATGCCGTGCAGGATGCTGCCACTGACAGTGCACAACCTCTCCAGTCCCTGAGAAAAGGAGTCCACCAAGCCCTCTGTCCTGTGGATGAGGAAAGCAGAAGATGCAAACACAGGGGACATCTCCACTCACGGCTCAAGAGAGGTTTGGTGACTGGTACAGAGAGAAGAGAATGGAGCCAAAGGCCTTAGGAAACATTCCAGCCAAAAGCGCCACCCCTTGGCGGCGCCCCAGATGGCCTGGTGGCGCGCCACACTCACTGGAACCATCTCTGCTCCCCTCCCCCTGCTCTGAAAATACTCACCCTTGTCCCCACTCTTCAGCTGAGAAACAGCAGACAGGACTGACCCCCACTTTCCCTCTGGCTTTTTCTAGCTAACCTCTCTGAGATCTTTATTTAAACACTTTTTCCAATTATTAAAGTAATACATGACCATTACAGAAAAAAAAACTTTAAATAAACAGAAGGATAAAAAAGCTGTTTTCCTAATTTTTATGCTGTCCCACCAGTGCAGACAAGGGTGGGCAAAGCCCTGAGAAGAGTCCTCACTTCCTGCAGAAAAGGCCCAGGCTGCCTGGGCTCATGAAGATAAAGAAATCTGTACTCTGGAGGCCTAATGAGAGGAAGCGATGATAGCATCATAATTGTATTTTTAGGTAATAAACTAATAAGTATATATTGGGTACCAGAGAAAGAAAGAGAGAGAGAAATTGCTAGTAATCTTATTACCAAGATTAAACCAATTTCTTGTCATTTTCTTGTTCTTTAAAAAAAAAAGTAAGGGCTATCAGTATTGGGGGCTACAAAGAAGTCCCCTCCAGCATAGGAAATAAGGGAACTGTAGTCACCTTGGGAGTCAGAGCACTCGCACAGCAGGACGGACAGAGCAGACAGAAGCACACATGCACACACCCCCACACACCACACACACCCCACCACACACACACACCATACCAAAAACACACACACCAGACACACCACACCACACCCCCCAACACCCACACCCACACACCACACAAACACACCATATCAAAAACACATACATCCACACCCACCACACACCACACAAACACACCATACCCAAAACATACACACACACTACACAAACACACCATACTAAGAACACAAAACATCACATCCACACACCATACCAAAAACACGAAACACCACACACACACACCATACACACACACTCCACCACACCCTACACACACACACCATACCAAAACACACACACCCCACACCACATACACACACCCACACACCTCATATACACACACCAAAAACACACCACACCCCCGTCACACACCATACCACAAACACACACGCCACACACACACCCCACCCACACACCCCACCCACACACCCCACACCAAGAACACACAAACCACACACACCCCACACCCCACACACACCCCTCAAACACATACACTACACACACACACCCACACACATACCCCACATACCACACCGCACCACACACCTCAAACACATACACTACACACACACACCCACACACATACCCCACATACCACACCACACCGCACACCACATACAAGTGCTGTGGGGACTCATTGGGACAGCCCTTGGGGAAACCCACTGGCTGTATTCTGCAGACGTGCCTATAACACTCTGCAAAGCGGTGATACTAGGTGCCTTCAGGCTGAGGTGGGAACACCATTGATGGCGAAGCTCAAAGGGGACTTGGCCAGAGCTGTAAAGTTTACCTTTTCAACAAGGAGAGTCTATCCATGAGATTACTTGCATAACTAAAAATTAGTTAAAAAACACAAACAACACACCTAGACCGCTCATTTGGGCCGCATGTCACTGAGGTGTCACATTCAGCTCTCCTGCAATGTTTTCCATGATGAGAGACACTCACCCAGCCCGCCTTGTTTCTAACAAGGTAAGTAACACCTGAGTCCCATTGACGAGGCAGCTCTCAGTCTGATCTCCGTCAAACATGTTCGTCAGAAGCTGTTCCACGCAGTCCTGCCTGTCAGACACACACGGAGGTCACTGCCTGGCAGAGCAGACACACAGACAAAAGTCCAAAGGACAGTCTCTCCTCCCTGTGGAGGAGCAACGCCCTAAAACCCAGAAGGGCTTCACTCGGGCTGCAGGCCAGGCCCCCAAGGTTCTCACGACACTCCTGTCCCTGCTAGCCCAGAATCGCTAGACCTGCCAGGAGACCCCTGGATGCTCCTCCCCTGAGAAATAGGCCCATCAAGTTAACCCTGGAACAGGGTGAGCATTTCTGAATCAGAGGAGGTGGCAATGTCTCCTGGTACTCAGAATAGGGCTTGGAGATGTCCTCACAACTCAGAAAGACCCCCAGCACCCACCCAGCCAGGCCCACCAGCGCCGCGGCCGGCACTCACGACTCCAGCACTGTGAGGAGGGGGTCTGGCTCCGGAGCCTCTTGCAGCTGATTGCCCTGCTCTCTGCCCAGCCTGACGATGTCACAGAGAGTCTGAGAAGCATTGGACTGCCTCTGAAAAGAAAAGGGGAACACAGCACTCCCTCAGGGCCAAGCAGAAATGTCAGCAGAGCCTGCCTGCTGGACAAGCAGCAGTCCTACTGCTCAGTTCTTTGAAAGATGATGAACTCTCTCTAAACTAGTTCATTTCAGAGATGCCTGGTCTGCCTTTCCACTGTGGGCATGCAGACCTGGTCAGCCTTTTCAGCTGTACTGAACTATCCCCAAGAGTTCAAATGGGGCCCTCAGTGGTCAAAAACATCAAACAAATACCACTCTATCCCTTGGACCAATTTTGAGATAGCTTGCATATGAGACCATGTTACCGACGCTGTATTTTAAATTAACAAGTAGCTCCTAATATTCAGAATGAGTCCTGCGAGCTAATGAAAACATGAAAGTTGCTACAGAGAAAACAAATGACTCAATTTTTCTAAGGAAACATGAACCCTGTGAAAATGGCATCTCTGATTCAGGGCACTTGCTGACAATGCAGGGGTATTCTGTGGGGTATTTAAATGATTATGATTACAGAGAAACTCAGCCCCTCCCTCCTTGTAGGGAGCATCAGAACACGCAGCCTCAATGTGCACGCTGTGGGAACACTGGGCTAAAGGAAGTGCTTGCACAAGTATTTGAGGGAAAAATGAAAGCAGCCAGCTTGGTTCTGTGGCCTCACATCTGCCTCTGGGCCTGGGAAAGGGCCAGTCAGCTCAAATGCTCACCCTTGTGGAGGGGCATCCTACTTTCCCAATCGGGAGCACAGAAACCCTCACCTGGCTGGCTGGCTGGCCCTGTGGGCTGACAGGAACAAAAAACAGTATGGCCAGGCAGCAGCAAAGGCTCAGACATGACTTTGCACCACTGGTCTCAAAATTGCTGAGGACAGCATGTATGTTTAGTTTTGTCATGCATAGAGAAAGGCCTATTAGGAGATACCTCGAATTCTCAACAGTGATTACTGCAGGGAAGGGGGAGAGGGCCGGGAGAGGAAGCCCCACTGGCACCTCACATGCTTCTATATTGGCAGAGGGGGGCTTCCTCCCAGAGTTCACACCCTTGTAAATCCCACCTCCTTGAGCATGGGCTGGAACTAGAGAGCAGAATACAGCCACAGTGAGGAACGCCACTTCCAAGATGAGTTTACAGAAGAACGACTTCTGTCTTGCTCACCCCGACAGAAGCCAGCAGCCACAGTGTTAGCTGCCCTGTGGAGAGGCCCACATGGAGTGGAGCTGAGGGCGGCCTCAGCCAGCAGCCCTCAAGGAACTGAGTCCTGCCAACTCACTGGTGACCCTGGAAGGGGACCTTCCCCAGTTAGGCCCTGAGATGACGACAATCTTGTGAGAGACCCTGCTAAGCCATGTCCAGATCCCTGACGCACAGAAACCGAGATAAAAAAAAATACTTGTTATAAGTTTTGGGGTAATTTGTTATTAGCCATAGACAACTAACACAGTTCAGTTTGAATTGTTTTTTATAATACGTATGTATTATTTAGTAACAAAAAGAAGTCCAGAAGTCAGTGCTCAATTAAAGGAAAATCAGTATCCAACTGGTCCTCGTCTGAGGAAAGGAATGACTTGCCCCTCAGACAGCAGCAGAGGGTGCTCGCCAGCAGCCCAGAGCATGGGCTTCTGCCAGAAGGTGGCTCTGTGAGCGCCATACTCACATCTTCATCCTGACTCGGGTGGATCAACTCCACGAGTCTCTGGATGATCTTCTCTTCATTAAGCCACTGAAAGGGAAAAAGAGGCCTGTCAAGGATTCTGTTCACATCTAACTAAAGTGGAAAGAAAGTCCTTCAGGGCAGCAGAAATCCATGAGCCATGTTCCAGGGACAGAGATCTTTGCCCAACCTGTGTGTCCACCAAGACCCAGAAAGAATAAGCAGTAGAGGAGGATAGGTGTGCGTGTTAGCTCAGGGCCAGTCTTCCTCAGCAAAAAGAGGTGGATTGGCAGCGGTTAGCTCAGGGCTAATCTTCCTCAAAAAAAAAGAAAAAGAAAAAGAAAGAAAGAAGAACGTGACCAAATTCCAGAGTGATCCAAAATTTAAAAAGAAGGGAATCACCATCTATATATCCTAATGGTGCAGACTCTTAAACATACACAAGCTGTGTCTTCAGAACATCTTGGAAGACAGAACGAGCTGGAGCCTGGAGCCACCTGAGTGCCGATTAGGCTCTCCCAGTGCACAGCCTGCCTGGACATGGAGGCCCAGGTAAACCTCTGTTCCCTGCGGCATCAGGGCCTTTCTAAGATCAAGAGGAGCAAAACAACTCTGCTGAGACAGCAGGAGCATTAAAGTCAGGCCTAAAGTGCTCAGTGCTGTTCAAGGTCCAAGGACAATGAAGTCCCAGGCAGACGTGGGTCATGCCTGGCTCCTCCATGACACTCCCTTATCCAGAAAGGGGATAATCTACCCCCACAGCTGCCCAGCATAGTTAGTGCAGGCTTCCCACTACTAACAACTGCTGATGTTTATGCTGTGCTCACTGTGGGACATTAGCTATTGTGATTAATTCTTAGTGGGAGGCTGCTCCACATGAGTGAAAACTGCCACCTTGATGACAACTGTCATCTGATTCCAGGAGCTGGAAAAAGGGGAAGAAAGACCAACAGTTTATTTTAACTTGCATTACAAACAAAACCTGCCAAACAACAGTGAACAGTCTGTCCAGCACTAATTTCCTGAGCTTCTCCGGGTTGAGAACCCTCCACTCTTCTGGGAAAGCCCTCAGGGAGTCACAGCAGCTCCTCTCACTGTGAACACCTTCAGGACACACTTGTGCACAAACTCCAGGACAAGCAAGAGGCCAACTCTGGTCATTGCAATTTCTCTGCATGGAATCCTTGTCAGCTAGTGCTTTCCTTACAGAGCCAGCATCTGACTGAGCTCCTGCTCTGAGACCACAGGGGTACTGGGGTTGGGGAAGGTGGTGAGGAAAGCCCATTTCTGCTTCTTCACAGAGCAGGAGGCCAGAATGTATCAGGGGGAAGAAGCAACCATTCTGCTCTTTGGTTTTGAATGGACTGAGGCAGGACAGGAAAAGGTGCAGACTCCAGATCCAGCCTCGAATATAAGCCTTCACAAGAATTCTGATGATCTCAGAGGGAGAAAATCATGTTGGATGGAAAGCTGGGAGCACTGGGCATGCTGGTGCTCTCTGAGCTCCTTCACTCAATTCCAGCCTCCTTGTGCTAGGCACTCACTATGCGCTCGGAAAATCTGCAAAACACATGCAGACAAGGAGAGGGCTCTGGAGAAGAGGGGCCCACACACTCACGTGCAAAACCTCCTGCCGGAGCCCAGCTGGCTCCACACAGCTGATGAGGCGCAGCAGCAGGTCCATGAGGGCCGAGGTGCCGATGTGCTTCAATACCAGGCTGATAAATTTGTCCTTCCTCTTCAAGAACACAATCACCTGAAATCAAACACGTCCTGATGGGCAAGCAGGGGACACCCCTGATGACCACGAGACGCTTCCCCCAAGAACTCTCATGAGAAAAGTTTTCAATTATATTGAGCATAAATAATGGAAAGACCTAGAAAAAGCTGTAAGAAAAACCTCTCCAAGGACAGGGAGAGACCTGAACACAGGAAAGTCCTGAGGCAGGCAAGGAATGTGAGGACCCCAGGCTGATGGAGGTCTGCTATGCAGTTGAGACTTCGTGCCAACACGACACAGATATCCCGAGTGAGACAGCACAGGCTGCTGTGCAGAGTGACCATTCAGTACACACTGGCTCAAGCTTTTCCAACAGAAATAACTGGTACAGACAGAGTGGAGCCAGGAGATGGTCATCGCCGACAGCCTCTGGACCTAGGACTCAAACCTGAGAGTATAGCACATGAGACAGCTGCTTGCTGACAGGCCCCAAGAGTGGGTGAAGGGACAGAGGGCTGAGATTTTTAGAAAAGAGGTGGCAACATATGGCTGGCTGGTGACCTGCTGACAAGATGTGACAGTTAAGCAGGAAGCCACAGGGGCTGGGGCACAGCCTTTAGCACTGATGCAGTGGGCTGCTCAGGAGGCAAGTCCTAGGTGAGAGTGGAAATGGAGGTAGAGAAGCCTGGGTGGAGTCCTTCTTGGCTGCACGTCTGCAAGTTCAGCTCAGCTAAGCCATAGAGAAAAGTGCCTACATGTCCAAACCACTGTGCTGAGGTGGACCCAGGACTCTACTGGGGACAATGAGGGCATGGAGAAGGCCCACTCAGCTGTGGGGATCTCAGCCACACTCATGTTGAGACAAGAGGAAAGAGAGGAGGAAGAAGGAAAAGAGAGGGGACAGCAGGAGAGTGAAGGAGGTGAGGAAGAGGAAGGTTCTTTGCAAAGAGTGATTAAATTCCTGGAGAGAAGATTAAAAAATAAAACAGAGAAGGCTCCAACAACAATATCAGGAATGAAACAAGAGAGATTACTATAGATCCCACCAATATAAAAACTATTATGAAAGGTTATTAGGAACAATGTTGTGCCAATTTATGTAAATTTAGAAAAATTAAAAATTTTCCTGAATAACACACTTACCTAAACTGACAAAAAGAAACAGAGAATCTGAATAGTTCTAGAGCACCAAAAGAAGCAAAATCTATCAACAAAAGCTTCCCAATACAGAAAATTCCAGCTTCTAACGGCCTTACTAGTGAATTCTACCAAACATTTAAAGAAAATAACCCCAATCTTATATAGACTCTTCAAGGGAACACAAAATGAGAGAATATGCCCCATATCATTGTATAGGGACATAAAACCTTGATTCTGAAAACCTAATAGGGCATTACAAGAAAAGGAAATTATAAGTCAATCTCACCAATGACCACAGATGCAAAAATTCAGCAATATGAAAGAGAGCATAATATATCACAACCAAGTTGAGTGTATTCCAGGAAATCAAGGTTGGTTTAACATTACAAAACCAATCAGTGGAATTTACCATTAACAGACAGAGAAGAAAAATTGTATGATCAACTCAATAGATACAGTAAAAACATTTGATAAATTTCAATAACCATTCATGTTATAGACTAAAAAGACTAAGAATAAAGAAAATTTCCTTACTCTAATTTAAAAAAAAATCTATAAAAACCCCACAATAAACATCATATTTAATTGTAAAATGTTGGGGCCGGTCCGTGGCCGAGTGGTTAAGTTCGCACGCTCCGCTTCGGCAGCCCAGGGTTTCGCCAGCTCAGATCCTGGGTGCAGACACGGCACTGTTCATCAGGCTGTACTGAGGCAGCATCCTGCATGCCACAACTAGAAGGAGCCACAACTAAAATATACAACTATGGACTTGGGGGTATTTAGGGAGACAAAGCAGGGGGAAAAAAAAAAGATTGGCAACAGTTGTTAGCTCAGGTTCCAATCTTTAAAAAAAAAAAACTGTAAAACGTTTGAAAGCTTTTCCTGCAAGGTAATAAATAAAACAAGGAGGCCCACTATCACCACTTGGATTCGATATTGTACTCAAGGTTCCAGCCAATGCAGCAAGGCAAGACAAAGAGACAAAAGGTGTAAGAATTATAAAGGACAAAATAAAATTATCATTAATCACAGAAGATATAATCTGGTACACAAATAAAACAAAAGAATATAAAGATAAATTATTAGAATAGCAGCTTTATTGATAATCACCAAAAACTGGAATCAGCCTAGATATCCTGCTGCATGTGAATGGTTAAACAAACTGTGGTACACACATATCATGGCATACCACTCTGCAATAAGAAGGAATGCACTACTGATACACACAACAACTTGGATGAATCTACAGGGAATTGCACTGAAAAAGCTAATCTCCAAAGGCTACATATTGTATGATTTAATTTAAATAACATTTGATATAACAAAATTTTAGAAATGTAAAGATTAATGGTTGCTAGGGGGGAAGGATGCATGAAGGGGTAGGGGCAAGAGGAAGCTGGTAGTTACAAAAGGGCAACACAAAGGAGCCTTTAGTTTTGGAACTGTTCGGTACCTTGACTGTGATGGTGAATATACAAACCCACAGAGATGATAAATTGTATAGAATTTAATACACACACACAAATGACTAGAAGTCAAACTGGAGAAATCTGAATAAGATCTGGGGATTGTATCAATGTCAATACCCAGGTTGTGATATCCTACTAGTGTTTTACAAAATGTCACCATTGGAGGAAACTGGGCAAAGTACACAAAGAATCTCTTCATATTATTTCATACAACTGCATAAGAATTTACAATTATTGCAATAAAAATTTTCAATAAAAAAGATACTATTTGGAATAACATGAGAATATCAACTACCTAAGAATAACCCTAATGAAAGATGTATAAGACTACTATCCAGAGAATTATAACATATTGTTGAGAGAAATTAAGGAAGCCCTAACTACTCAGCTTTGTCGTTGTGGCACAAAACCAGCCACAGACAATATGTAAATAAATGGAAGTGGCTGTGTTTCAGTAAAATTTCATTTACAAAAGCAAGCAGCAGACTGGTTTCGGCCTGTGGGCTATAATTTGCTAATAACCTCAATCTATAGCCAATGTAAGTCTAATCAAAATTTCAGCAGGCTTTTTTGGGAGGGCAGGGGAGAACGTGGAAACTGAAAAACTCATTCTAAAATTTGCTCATTCTAAAATAATGCAAAAGGCAAAGAACAGTAAAAACAATCTTAAAGAAAAACAAAGTGACAGGACTAACTCTATCGAATAGCAAAACGTATAAAACTATACCAATTCAGATAGTGTTGTACTGGTGCAATTACAAACAGGACAACAGAACAGAATACAGTCCAGAAACAGACATATACAGACGTGACCACCTGATTTATGGCAAACGGGGCACTGTAAAGCAATTGAGAAAGAATGGCCTTATCAACAAATGGTGCTGGGTCAAATGGATATCCATATTCAAAAAAATACTTGAACCTTACACCATTTACAAGAATCAGTTCCAGGTAGACTGCAGATAGCAAGATGAAAGGTAAAACAATTAAGCTTCTAGAAGATAATACAGAAGAATATCTTTATGACTTTGAGGTAAGTAAAGTTTTCTTAGAACAAAAACACCATCAACGACAAACAAAAAGAATTAGGAACTAAACTACATGAAAATCAGAAGCTCTGCTCAGTAAAAGATATCATTAAGAAAGTAAAAAAAAAAAAAAAAAAAAAAGGCAACCCAAAGTGGGAAAAGATGTTTGCAACACAAAAGCAACAAAAGACTTATATCCATGAAAGATAGAGAATTCTTACAAATCAAAAAAGAAGAAACAGCCTAGTAGAAAATAAGCAACAATCCTTCTTAAATTATTCCAGATCCTTCTCAAACTATTCCAGAAAATTGAGGATGATGGTACACTCCCTAACACACTCTATGAGGCCAACATCACCCTGATACCAAAACCAGACAAGGACAACACAAAGAAGGAAAATTACAGGCCAATATCACTGATGAACATAGACGCAAAAATCCTCAAAAAAATACTGACAAACCAAGCACAGCAATACATTAAAAAGATCATACACCATGATCAAGTGGGATTCATACCAGGGACAGAGGGATGGTTCAACATCCGCAAGTCAATCAATGTGATACACCACATTAACAAAATGAGAAATAAAAACCACATGATCACCTCAATAGATGCAGAGAGAGTATTCGACAAGATCCAACATCCATTTATGATAAAAACTCTCAATCAAATGGATATAGAAGGAAAGTATCTCAACATAATAAAGAGCATATGTGACAAATCCACAGCCAATATCATACTCAATGGGGAAAAACTGAACGCCATCCCTCTGAGAACAGGAGCAAGACAAGGGTGCCCACTCTCGCCGCTCTTATTCAACATAGTACTGGGGGTTTTGGCAAGAGCAATTAGGCAAGAAAAAGAAATAAAAGGAATCCAAATATGCAACGAAGAAGTGAAACTCTGACTGTTTGCAGACAACATGATTTTATATATAGAAAACCCTAAAGAATCCATCGGAAAGCTACTAGAAGTAATCAACAATTACGGCAAAGTTGCAGGGTACAAAATCAACTTACATAAATCAGTTGCATGTCTATACTCTAATAATGAACTAACAGAAAGAGAACTCAAAACCACAATCCCATTCACAATTGCAACAAAAAGAATAAAATATCTTGGAATAAATTTAGCCAAGGAAGTGAAAGACCTATACAATGAAAACTACAAGACTTTCCTAAAAGAAACTGATGATGACATAAAGAGATGGAAAGACATTCCATGCACATGGATTGGAAGAATAAACATAGTTAAAATGTCTACACTACCTAAAGCAATCTACAGATTCAATGCAATCCCGACGAGAATCCCAATGACTTTCCTTCACAGAAATAGAACAAAAAATCCTAAAATTCATATGGGGCAATAAAAGACCCCAAATTGCTAAAGCAATCCTGA